ACTACTACTACTACTACTACTACTACTACTACTACTACTACTACTACTACTACTACTACTACTACTACTGCTACTACTACTACTACTACTACTACTACTACTACTACTACTACTACTACTACTACTACTACTACTACTACTACTACTACTACTACTACTACTACTACTACTACTACTACTACTACTACTACTACTACTACTACTACTACTACTACTACTACTACTACTACTACTACTAATACTACTACTACTACTACTACTACTACTACTACTACTACTACTACTACTACTACTACTACTACTACTACTACTACTACTACTACTACTACTACTACTACTACTACTACTACTACTACTACTACTACTACTACTACTACTACTACTTCTACTACTACTACTACTACGACAACAGTACTACTACAGTACTACTACAGTACTACTACAGTACTACTACAGTACTACTACTACTACTACTACTACTACTACTACTACTACTACTACTACTACCACGACCACAACCTCTACGTACCACAACCGCTGACCACCATTACAGGACTACGGGAAACAAACATGCTTGGGTCCGGATTGCGACTCGTAAGTCAAACGCCCCAAAACCCGATGAGTTTAACCCAGCGCCTGCCCCCGCCAAAGCTCTGAACAAACCTACAATAAACCCTAAACCGTAGACCCTGAACGAGCGCTAAACCCATGAATTGAACAGTTCAAACCCCGATACCCCTCAGTGCCTTGGAGCTCGGCCGGATGAGGACTTGGCGCTTGCCACGCTTCTCGGCATTGACGATGTTGTTGAGGCCTGGGCCAAGCAGTCTGATCTTGGCTTCTGCAACTGTTCAATACACTACAGGCGCGTCATGAGGTTTCCCTGAGGCTCCATGTAATTTCCTATGTGGTTTCCGATCTAGGTGCGTGAAGGCCTAAATCTATACGATAAAGGCACATGGAACATTAGCCGAAAACCCTCAGCGTTTAAACGACTCCCACGGAGAGTCGCTGGATCGAGCCAAAAGTAGAACGGAGCCCTACAGCAAACGAAGAGTCGGAAGTTGTTGTTTTTTGAGGGCCTTTTCTGTCGCTCGAGCTCCCAGGCCCTTTTCGGGCAGGCTACGGTACGCAACCCTTAGGCACATCATCGACTTTCGACTGCGACTCCACACTCCCAGTGTCATCAAGCTCGTAGGATCCACCAGCTGCCAAGAGCCCGTCCTCCCCCACTTGCCCTCCAGGTACGTCAGCAATTTCAGGTAATTAGCTCCGTCTCGACTGTATCCATTGGTGCAAGAGCCTCCTCAGGCGACCCGGTGTCCACACCACACCGCCCACACCCTCTCCCTTGTCATTCTGGGCGGCACCCTTTGCACCGTCCAGAAGCACATCTTCTGTGTTCCGCACCCCTAGCCCAGCCATTGCGTCCAAATCGTGTCCGTCACGGGCCAGCTCAAAGAAGAACAACCACCCCTCACAGAAAAAAATGTTCAAGATCGCCTGGTCCTGCACTCTGCTAGCCCTCCATTCTTTGTATCACAGGTTGTACTCTTGCCCTCCTATCTCCGGTCGGTGTCCGTCAGGATTTCTAGGTTCATTCGCCACCGGCTTCTCCACTGGTCCTCGTCGAAGTAGCGCTGTGCTGGCTTTAAGGGTTTAGGCTTTTGGGAGTTTCGGGTTTAGGGTTTTTAGGCCCAAGCCGCCAAGAGTAAGTAATAGCATGGCCCAGATCCTGTAAAAGGGCTTGTGTTCTACATGCTTTCGGGGTCCAGGTAGGCATGCAGTATGTTCCATTGTCTTAACACCCAACACCACGCCCGGGAAGCCAAGTTGCTCATATGATGGGTTACCACATTAGGACGCGCCTGACTAACCGAGACGAAACTACACAGTAGATTACAGTAGGCTAAACTAGACCAGTTTAGACTAGACCAACATCAAGGTAGACCATGCTGCAAAGTATGACTATGGGTAGACAGGCTCTGGAAACCTGCCATAAGATCTAAACTGGTACCACCTTTCCTGGACTGCCAAGCTAAGCTCTCGCTTCCACATCCTCACTTTGGAAAACCGCTTAAGATGAGCCTTTGTGGTGTTAATTGGGCTTCTTCGAATAAAGACTCCTTTAGCGGATTCTGTAGGAAGTTCTGACATGTTTGCATGCATCTGTGTATATACATAGTTTTTGTAAGTAGCATATTATCAGGACTTTAAGAATCGCAGGGGGGCTTCAGGGTTCCTTAATTTATGGCATGCTGTGTAACCTTGTATGTCGACCCCTCTGTTACATGCTTTGGTCCGCGGGCGTTTTTGTCTGACGGTTCGTAAACCATTTTCAGCGCTTGGCAACGTATAGCTGGAGTACAACCACTGTCAAGGGCCAGAAGAGGTCTATTCAGGATAATTTCGTTGGAGTGGCTCTTGGTATGCAGCTTTCTCGGGTTCCCTACTGACGCTTCTGAAACTCGTCCTCAACATCGACGCACCTGGGGCCATTTACCGTAGGCCCATAGACTAAACCCGAAATCCCGGAACAAGCAAGTGCCAGGCAGTCTCGCAGAACGCTGATGCGAACCTCAGTATACGAGACTTCATAAAAAATAACAACCCCATGCCATAGATTCGACAGACTCACATTTCTTATTGTCGGGTTTCTCCCCTACATAGAGTCAATCACGTAATTCAAGGACCCCTTTCTCAGGCACCCCCACAATGAAGTCCGGCTTGCGGAGTTCACGGCACACTGGGCTGCAGTGGAAACTAAACCCGATCCACTCAACCAGGGCGGAGGGTTTCGGGTCCTCTTCTGCAAGGTTACGTATTTAGTTAATTCAATGTCCAGTTTCAGATTTTGGAGGCTCTGTGCTGGTAGCTTCTTTACTTACAGGGCTTGTGGTTTGCTATTGCCGTGCATGCGACCGAAAACTACCTGCAACACGAATAAGACCCAAAACCGGCTCCACCAATCTACGCAGCAGTTCGGATGCCGCTGCTAGCTTAGTTTTTGGAAGCGGGGAGGGGACAACTATCGCGATTTGACGATCAAACAAGAGCGCGTTTGCACCAAAATGTGAACCCCGTTCTTGTCCGGGGCAACTGTAACCCACTGTGCTCGCACAAGCAGATCTTCAAAGCCTTGCCGTGCACAAGCAGGCAAATAAAGACGCGCAACAACGCAACAACGAAATGAACATGCATGCATGCACGCATGCATGCCCGCCTGCAGCCGCACGTACATATGTACATGCGTACACATGTACATACGTACAGAATTCTACAGACATACATGCTGCATGCATACACACGTTCTACAAATCAATCGCCGAAAACGTTAAACTGCAGAAACTACAAACAATACATACCTTTGCATACATTATATATAACATAAGCTTTTAAGATTCCGAACGATCCTTACATTCCATCCATCCATCATCGACCCATCCATCCAAGCATGCGTGCATGCAGGCAGATAGAGTTTAGGGCTTATAGGGTTTAGGGCTAAGTTTAGGGTTTAGGGCTGAGGGTTTAAGCCCGCCTGGCAGCCAGCAAATACCAGTGGCGCATGCTAAATCCCGCCTGAACGTAGTGCCTTTGTGTATCTATACCTTCTTCTCGCCCCAAGGGTCCATGCCTCCTAGCAGTAGTTTTTGGACTTAACTTACCTATGTAGGGACTACTTTTCGGCCAAAGCAACTACTAAACATTTGGGTACACGGACACTCAGGGTTCTACTCATGTGTGGATGTGCTATGCCAATGCACCCCCGGAGGTTTGGGGTCTGAGGATAGTGTGGTTCCAGACCCTAAACACTACAGACCCTAAAACCCGGAACCCCTGAACCCTGCCCTAAAACCCCAAACCCCTAAAACCCCTAACCCACGGAGACCACCCCTAGCCCGACAACGCAACACCCTACAAACAAAAAACCCTGTACTCCCCCAACACCTCCATCAACCAATGTCGTATGGGATTTGGGGTTCTAGGTTTACAGGGTTTTGCGGGGCTCCCGTTAAACCCCAACCCTACGCTAAACCATATAGCCGCAAGACCTTCAGCTGATAAACCCCAAATCCTCAACTTCAAGAAACCCCAAAACCCTAAGTCTTTATGCTATATAACCTGAAAGCCTCCACCCTCGTCTCGAAGCCCTTAGTCCTTTCGTGGACCCCAAAAGCATGTAGAATAATAGCACGTGTATAGGCTGTGGGTCAATATATCTTATTCTTGGAGGCTTGGGTATATCATACTATCCTAATTCCAAACCCTTATAAACCCCCAATTTCTGAAGCCCCTTAACCCCAAAGCCTAAACCCTAAAACCCCTAAACCCTGAACCGCTTATAGTGCACAATGTAAAACCCTAAACCCCTAAACCCGAAATTCCGAAAACCCTAAACCCCTACACACCCGTAAACCCTATTTCGTGCACCATGTGAGACCCTAAACCCCTAAAACCCCTAAACCCTAAACCCCGTCTACCATGTAAGACCTCACAAACCTCCGTGCGAGCGGGGTGCCATGGCAGGCGCTTGGTTGCTCGTCCCCGGCTGCTGTTGCGACTTGTGCTTGAGCCCTAAGTTGCACACAGCTACGGTTTAGAGTCTAGGGTCTAGGGTTTAAAGGTTAGCGTTTAGGGTTTGGCGCTCAAGGTCTTGGGCTTTAATCGTTTAGGGTTTGCATGGAGCTTAGAATTTTGGGGTTTGAGGGTCGCAGGTTCGTTGTTGCACGAAGACGTATTTTTTCCTTCGCTTCCAACTTTCTGTGGGGCCTTGTTGGGTCTGTAGTCTGCGTTTTTCCGGGGTTCGAGTTCAGAGCTGGGTTTGTAGGGTTTGTCCCTTAAGGCCTGGGGTTTACAGCTTAACGTTTAAGGCTGTGACCCGGGTTCAGTGCTTCTGCTTCCCCCAGAGCTTGTATGCTCTACTCTCTAAGTCCTGGTCTGTGATATTGAGGACTCGGGTGTGTACGTCTTGATGCGCTTCCGAGTGCAGCCCACTTTTCTCATGCCTGCACGGCGAGATGTGCCATCAGAAACAGCAGGAATTGAGATCCAGGTCGAAGACCTGCCGCATTCTGGTACTTAATCTTTGCGGGTTGGGGCTTCGGGCCTACCGGGTTTGGGGTGGGGGTTTCTTTGGCTTTATGGTTTGGGGTTTAGGGCATGCCGGGGATTTATGCAAACCTCCAGACGCATCACGAAGCAATGATCTTGTAGTCGCAGCTAGTTTAAAAGATTGAGGTGGGGGGGGCTTCTGAAAAAAACTCGATTCACTTCTAGGTTTTAAGTCTTGGCCCAAACCCTGAAACCTGAAAGCTAAACCGGAGTCAAGCCCCAAGCCTTCATCCACCTGGTTGTTGCCTGATCGTCGAGGCTGCAACCTCAACCCTAAACCCCAAACCCAAACCCCGGAACATAAAGTCCTAAACCCTAAACCCCAAACCCAAACTCCGAAATATGAAGTCCTAAACCCCAGACTCTAAACCCCAAAATGTTAGAGGATGTTGGAAGGCCGTCCTCGGGAAGAGTTACCAAAGGGCTCTGGAATTATTGCGGGTTCTACTGGCCCTAATAATTGGAACTCGGTTTCGAAGCTTCTTGTATACAGTGATGTGCATTTGTTATACTAGCAAACATACGGGAATACTGCTACTAACTATTATTCCGACACCCAATTACTCAGAAGGGCCTACTAGTCGCGGTCGACGTTAGGTTTCTGGAGTTCGGGCAGTTTGGGCCTCGGGCGTGCTACGAGCACTGCAACGGCCTCGTAGTTTGCGACTTCTTCGTGGCTACGGAAGACTCACAGGTATGCTGCTTCGGGTGTACTGCACAGATTCAACAAAAGTTCTTGTCATCTCCACAACTTGATATCCATGTCTAGCGACCTTATAATAATTAAGTCCGAAACCCAGCTCCTATCAACTCGAAACTGTGCCCGTAGCCATGAATCTCTGGACTCCCCCCCAAAAGAAACTCCACACAACAGAAGCCCCAACCCCAAAGCCCTAAATGCCGGAGCCCAAAGCAGCTCGGGAGCTTCATCTGCTATCACTCCGTAAGGATCTAGAAAGTAGATCCCCTAATTTGTGGCCCTATACTACCAGGGGTACTTTTTTGGAACCCCCATTAAAAAAATCTACATTTTGGATCCTCCCGGGGGTCTAGCCCGAATGAGAGAACTTGATAAGTGCCTGGTAGGGCCTATTTTCGGAAGTCTAGTACCTGAGCCCCCTCCCCCCTACACCCCTATGGGTCCCTAAGATGACTGCTACGGTGGCCGTGCTGACTCTTGCTAACACCTACTCGTCGCGTATCCGGCGCGGGAGTGAAATATTGGGAGTATTTTGGTGCTATTTTGGGATTAAAGTCCCAGAAGGTCCTAGGTACTGTTGTGGGAGATACTTCCCCAAATCATACTAGTAGTTCCTAATGCAGAAACCCTATATACTATAAAGGTACTTTGGACCCTTAGGGAGTAGCCCAAAAAAGTTAAAGGATACCTACTCCACTACCAGGACCATGTTTGTAGTTGCACACCCACCTCCTTGCTAGTCTTACGGGTTGAAACCCTGAAACCCTAACTCCGAATAGCTAAGGCCGCCAAAGCCGGAACCACAAAGCCCACGCGTGAACCCTACAGTCTACAGCATAAACAATACAGCTCAAAGTCTACAGCCTAAACCCGCGACAGTCTGCTGAACCCTAAAGCCAAAACGGCCCAAAACCCTAATGCCTAAACCATAAAGCCCAAAGCCTCAACCTCACCTCCTAAACCATGAAGCCCAAAGCCTTAACCCTAACACCAAAACCATGAAAACCGAACCCTAAACCCTGAAGCCCAAAGCCTAATCAGGAAACCGTAAAGCCAGGGCACAGTATACACTATTTGGGTACACGGACCCCCAAAAGAGACCGTTAAAGGAAGGCCTTGGAGAAGCCATTATGGGAACCCCGTAAAGGAAGCTGTTAAAGGAACCCTTTAAGGAGCCCTTAAAGGAGCCCTTAATAGGAACCCTTCAAGGAGCTCTTAAAGGAACCCTGATTGGTAGGGTTCCCACCTCCTCCGCCTTGCTGCTCCTCGGGCTGTCCTTCGGCGGCCTCATATAGGGATTCAAGGGCCAAGGGGTTTGGGGTTTAGGGCTTCGTTTAGGGGTTGACGGTTTCGGGGTTCAGGGGTTTAGGGGTTGAGGGGGGTTTAGGGATCTAGGGGTTTAGGAGTTTAGGAGTTTAGGGGTTTACAGTAGGAGTTTAGGGCTTAGGAAGGCTAATATGGGGGGACCTTAGGAAAAGGGTTCTATCATCAACTGTTGCCACACAGGGTACTTTCTGGTGGGGTCGTCTTGTCGAGGCCTTATGCACTAGGATAAGTTGGTACTGCCCCCATTCAGTAATTAACAGTCTATAATAGGGCTGCCATTAAGGGCCTAATATGTCTATATTATAAAGATCATTCGACTGTTGCTGAGTGGGGGCAGTACGCAAAGGCTACGGATCTTATCAGGCTTTCATAAGCTACACGGGGCGTTCATATGTAGGCTATGATCTCGGGGCCTTTGTTAGAGCAGGACGGGGACCCCAAACCCATACCCAAAACTCACAGCTTTGGTATAATGAGCCTGTAAGTAGACTTTAAAGTTTGTCAGTGGCTCATCAATTCCGCCGCTTAGGGCTTGCAGGCATCCAGAGTTGCACGTTCTGGGGGTTCAAAAACACGGCTTGTGGCTTTTGAGGTCGATAAGGCTTCAGAGCTTTGCTGGAATCTCTCAGGATGCAGGGCTTCGGGCTCTTAGGCTGCCAGTGTCTATGTTCCAGAAATCTCTTTCACGACCCCTTCCGAACCTGGCCCTGGATGGTCGGGGTGTCATCGAAATCGAACCTGGGATGGATTGCACATACCAGATATGCATAAGACACACACACACACACAAGTACGAGATGGTATTGTATACGTACCTGCTTGCATGTGTGTACGTCTGCCTGCCTGCCTGCCTGCCTGCCTGCCTGCCGGAATTGCTGCCTGCCTGTGGCTGGCTATCTCTGTCTGTCTGTCTGTCTGTCTGCCGGCCGGCCTGTCTGTCTGTCTGATCAGGAGCCGACAACAAAACACCCAAGATTCCCCGAAGCCCGCAATCCTAAAGCCGTAACCCACAACATACTGGCGACACTGCAACCCTGTCAGACCCATGATAGTAACAGTAGGGAGAACAAGAATCCATGTCCTCGTGCTATGCCCAAAGATTACAAAAGCTTCCGAAGAAGAGGCTCGCTTAAAACTAGAGAGATGTGTTCCTAGACTTTACGACCTAAAACCGAATATGACCTACAAAATATTACGACCTTAAGCCTGCACCCGATAGAGCTCGAATTGAAGGCCCTCAAGACTCTAAACCCTGAGACCTCCAGACCTTGCGAGAATAAACCCTAGAGACCCTGAATCACTGAACCCCTGAAGCAGAACCCTAAACCTTAAACAACTTTCGAGACCCTGAAAAAAACAAGATCCCTAAGGGGCCGAGCCGGGCTAAGCGTAGGACCCGGCCACGGCTACCGTGGCTGCCAGATCTGAGCAGGCTAGGTCACGGCAGATGGAGACCAGCCAAGCCTGAGAAGCTTTGAGGTTGAGGGCTTATGGAGTTTGAGGTAGTTATTCCGGTGTAGGGTTTAGGGTCTAGGGTTTAAAGTTTATAATAGGGCTTGTAAGGTTTAAGGGTTATTCGGGTATAGGGTTTAAGGCTTATAAGGTTTAAGGGTTAGTCAGGTTTAGGGTTTTTGTGGTTTGAGGTGTGGGGGCTGTATAGTTTGCGCGCTGGGTTTGGTCTTGTTTGGGCCAACAGAGATCCTTGTCAAGGGCTCTGTATTGTTGCTCAACAGCTTCTAAGGGATTTGTAGACGAAGCTTTATGTAGAGACCTTATGCGGGAGGTTCTTGCAATGAGGGAACCTGGTTTCGGGGTCATCATGACGCGGATCCCATTTTTGCAGGGCACAATTGATAAGGCCGAAACCATAAACCAGACATTTTTAACTCCGGGATGCGCTGGCTTCGGGAGAGGATTCGGCCTCTGGGGTTTAGGGAGTTACAGGGATCGGGATCAGTGCTGTCGTGTGGTTGTGCGGTTTCATGACTCGAAGGTGAAGCCTCGTTATGTTGAGGGTGATGTGCGTTGAGAGTGGGCGGGGGGCGGGGGGTGTAAGTAAGGCATGCTGTTTAGGCGCGGGGCACGCTACCATGTGCGCTGAAATGAGGGATAAGTTTGATATGGGATTTTCCGACAATAGGGATCCCTAATATAATACCCTTAATGGTAATACCGTTTTAATGTGGACCCCAAAAAGGGTACCCCTAATTTGCGAATACTCCGATATTCCACTTTGGGAATGCGGAGCTGCTCACACTCAAACCAGGCCTTGACTCGAGACTCGGGACTGGTTTTAGGATCCCACCACTATCGCAGCAGTAGATGTTGGTCGTTTCGCGTGGATGCAATTCGACCTCAAGTAGTCTGCACCATGAGAATGTGGTTGGTCCTGAAGACTCGTGCCATGATGAACCGAACCGCACCTCTACTCTTCCATCCCTTATACGTATTCCAAGCAGAGACTTTCATCCTCCTGAGTGTGTGAGGCTCAACCCTCACAAGACACATAAAAGTGTAAAGAACTGCTCCGGAGAACTGCGGAAAACGGATCCTCAACAGAAGCGCTCTGCACCCGAAGGTATCGTACGCACCCAATCCCGGACTCTCCTCTTGCGATTCAAAGAGCATTCCCGCTGGGCATGAAGAACTCGGGCAAACGCACCTGGTGCTCAACAGCGAGGTGGATTTTAGAGGGATTTAGGGTTTAGTTTAGGGCTCGGGGATGAAAAGGGGTACCTTTGACCCTCTTGGGCACATACCCTAAAGCCTAAACATGCAACTACTATAGGGGCCTTACAAAATCAGAATAAGGTTCTGGGGCCATTGTACTCCCTTTTGGGCACATGCCCCGCTATTTAGTACAAGCAACTACCATCCCTCGCCGGCGGACCAAGGCTCGAGTATCAACAGGGCACGTTGTACTGTATCATGGTATCATAACGCACTGTATCTAGGATGCCCAGTAACCTAGGAACAAAAAGGGCTCCCCGTTTGGTATTGGGTAACTGTATAATTATCAGGAACCTAGGACTACAAAAAGGGAATAAGGGTACTACTGCCCAGGTATAGAGCCCGGCCTCCCTCGTCTCCCTGGGCTCGCGCTTCCGAAGTACGGTAAAGGGCCCAAGAGTTGGAAACCCAATATAGTAGAAGCCAGAAAGTTGGAACATCATTATCCTCGCGCCCTTAAGGTAAAGCATAAGGGAATCCTAGCACTGATCCTCCTGAAGCCATGTACCAACCTTCTGGCTTCTACTTTAGCCTCAATCCTTAAGAGTAGTGTTTGGGGAATCCCAGCATAATTTGGCCTTAATCCGGTTTCCAACTTTATGGGGATTACTGTAATGCTGATGTCCTGGGAGTTACAAGTGCAGGAGTATCACCTGAGACCCGGTGAAAACTCAAAAATGCTGTGCAGCCCGATTACTTGGAGGATCATGGGACTTAGTAAGCTTTAGGGCCGTTTACGGTGTAGGGTATTTAGGGTTTCAAGAATTGTGTGCCATGCTATGTCCATGCCGGCTCCAGAGTTTACACACCTGCGGCCAACATCTTCTTCAGCAACCGGCTTTGCAAGCGGCACCACATCCCAAAGCCAGAAGCTGAACCGGCAAGCTGCGCTAAAACGCGCCTCAGCGGAAGCCTAGACCGAAGCATCAAGCAGGAACACAAGATTGCTTTACTTGCCGCCCAATAAGGATGTGCCAAGCGACCACAAATTCGACGCGATAGCTGCCTGGCACTCTGAAGATTTGGGGCTCTGCTCTGGCGAGTGTTGGGACCGGCAAGAGTTTGGTTGGGCTGCTTTTAAGGTTAGACATGACTCGTTACCCAGACCCTAAACCCTGAACATCCCTAAATCCTAAACATCCCCAAACCGTGCGGCGCTAACCCCTAAGCCCTAAACTTTCCTGAACCCTAGCCTCCTTTGGTAGACGGTTCGCATGTTCAGGCTTAAGGGCTGGATCCGAATATAGGAGCTTGGGCTACGGTTTAGGGTTTGGGGTTTATAGTCAATGAAACGAAGAGGGCCTGTCTGACTGGGAGTGAGTACTCTCTAGTTCAGGATATACGAGTACCACGAGGCTTTAGCGAACCAACCTGCAGCAGCCGCCAGCCGCGCCTGCAGGAACTTGGGGCGGCGCCGCCCCGGCATTGGAAACGAGATCCACCTCAGGACACACTCACACCTCAACTCCTCACCGAAAGGGTTAGAGCCTTAAACAGCCTGAAGCATGCACACTGAAACATCCATGCTCAAGCTGAAGACAACGGGTTTCGGCAGGTACAGCAGAAGGTTGCGGATGCACCATACTTGAGCCAGGGAATCGGGGTCTTAGAGTTTTGGGCCTGAGGATTCGAGCTTCGTGCTTACTGTCGGGGTCAGGGTGTCAGTCACTCAAAGTTCCCTTCGGGAACTCTGAGGAAGAATAAATCTGGCCATGCAAGCTGCTGCCGCATCAGGCCTAAACAGCCAAACATCCGAAAGCCTTCAATCCTGAACTTCATTTCATGTAGGGTTCTTAATAATTAGCATACAAATTTTGGAGGTTCCTTACTATGATTATAGCTTAATATCCCCAAACCCTATTCTAATTTAAGGCCCCAACAGTATAAGCCCTGGCCCTGGAGATGTTTTGGCTGAAACTGCAAGGTTCGCGGAAAACTTGAGGAAGGGTCTGGCAGGGTCGCAGACTACGCAGGACTTAGGGTTTAGGGTTTATAAGCAGCCTCCCAGGAACCATTGAAATGATCAAAGCTTTCGGGTTTGCCAGGTGAGGCTTGCAGATGCTCAGGCACCCTGATCAACTTCTCCAAGAAGAAGAGGTGGAACCAGCCTCCACTTCTCCAGGAAGGTTCAAGGCAACCCTAAGCCTGCAGACCTGCATGAACAAGTCGCAGGGACCCCAAAACCTCAAACTTTACCGCCATAAACCATGTCAAGTCCCTTTAGTGCCCGTGCTCCTAGTACTGCTAGTACTACTCGTACTACCAGCACCACAAGTATTTTTCGTACAGCCAATGCATGGTACTACTACCAGTACTACTCCAAGCACTTTTCTATCTGTTATTGCCATTACCACCCCTACTGCTACTACTACTACTACTACTACTACTACTACTCCTGCTACTACTACTACTACTACTACCACAACAACAACAACTACTACTGCTACTACTACTACTACTACTGCTACTCCTGCTACTCCTGCTACTCCTGCTACTCCTACTACTCCTACTACTACTACTACTACTACTACTACTACTACTACTACTACTACTACTACTACCACTACTACTACTACTACTACTACTCCTGCTGCTGCTGCTGCTGCTACTACTACTACTACTACTACTACTACTCCTGCTGCTACTACTACTACTACTACTACTACTACTACTACTACTAATACTGCTACGACTACCACTGCTAGCAATAGCAGCAGGAGCAGGAGCAGGAGCAGGAGAACGAGCAGGAGCAGGAGCAGTAGCAGGAGTGCGAGCAGAAGCGGGTTGCAGTGGCAGGAGTGGCAGTGGCGGTGGCAGTGGCGGTGGCAGTGCCAGTAGCAACAAAGCAGCACCAGCACCAACAGCAACGGCACCAGCAGCAGTTAGAGTAATAGTGCAAATCAGCAAAAGGTAGTGATGCAAGCCGTGCGCGAGTAAGTAGGTACCTGTATGCAACATGCACCATTCCGAAGAGTGCCTTTGCTACCATTACTTGACTACTGTAACAACTCTGCCTTGCCAGCGTCATGACTCTTATATCATCCTATGACTGATAATTCGATTTATGCCTGTTTAAGCCGCACATATTCTGCCACACTGAGGCTTTGATAGAACCATTACAACTAAACTACCCGAATGCAAAGCAGCATTTACTTCCACGGTTGCCGAGTGACCAATCTCGGGCGTCGGGAGTCCATCCAAATTTAGGACCTTGAAGGGAAGGTTGGGAACCCGGCCGATCGCGATGGCATATTCCCACTATCGAAGGCTTCAAGACTCTACTGCAGCGGCCTCAATAATTACCAATACCGTTTTAGGGATTCCTTATTCTAGTATGGTATAGTCTTCCCCCGAACCCTTTTCTAATTGTTCAGGCCCCTATATTGAATCCTGATAATAGCCTTTACAGTGGCCCTTATAGACCCGACTTTAAAGGAACCCTATTCTAACTATCAAGGCCCCTATATTGGACACCTGGATCGAGGCTGGACCCAGGTTGTAAGACTTCAGTCTTTCGCTCGAGGGATCTTGAGCGGTTTAGGGTTTAGGGGTTCAAGGTTTAGGGCTAGGGTTTTGGAACAGCGGGGTGCAGAAGTAGTCGGGGTGATTGGTAGGGGATATGGACCTGCTTTGCAGCCATGACGTCTTAATGCAACAACACAGCATCCGATACCGATTTGAAGCTGTACCGACATCGTCGTATAAAATACTCCCCGTATCTGCACTCTAGCTTGACGCTGCAGTTCAAAACCAATCCCCACGTGAGAACTCTAAACGCCGCAGAAAACCTCAACCCTAAGCCCACAGGGGCGCAGGAGCACTATGCCGAAAACCTGACATCAAAACATCTCCACGAAGGTTTGGCCTCAGGCCAAAGCTGGGCATTCCGCAGAGCTGCAACCACGAAGAATCATGTTAGGGTCTTAATAGTTAGAATAGGATTTTGCGGCCCATTCTACCATAAATTTTATAAGGTTCGATCTAGGGTTTAGGGTTTAGAAACCCGAGCCGAGGCTTCCGCAGGCTCCCGGACCACGAGCGTGAAGTGCTCGGGCGCAGCGATCTGAATCGCGCGGACCGGGCCAAGAGCCTCGAAGTAGCTACTTTAGGGTCTAAGGCTTTAGGGTAGAGGGTTTCAGAGTACAGCGCCAGCACTGAATACGAAACCATTGAATAAGAAATCCCCTGGATTTGGGGGAAGATGTGCTAGAATCTGCCACAACCTAGCAAAAGGAAAGAAGAAACTCAGGGCCCCCACCCACGAAACCTAATTCCTTATCCAATTTCTTAAATGCTTCCCCCCAAACCCAGAAGCGCAGGAGCGTAAACACGTTACAGTACCTTGAAATTTGGGCTGAAGGCTTCGGGATTTTGAAGCATCAGGTTACAGGGGACAGGAATTAGTACAGCACTTCGAGCCTTAAAACCTAGCGGAATCCCCAATGGACGGATTTAGGATTCCTGCAGCAAATCGGCGAGAGTTTCGGAATTCGCCCGAAGGCAAGCAACAAAGGTGAAGATTTGATATCCAGTCGCTTTGACGGGTTTAGGATTGGCACCCTGCCTCGGATGCTTGAGTTCTTATCCAACGCCGTCACTGTAGTAGTAGTCGTCGTCGTTGTAGCAATGGTAGTGGTAGTAGTAGTAGTAGTAGTAGTAGTAGTAGTAGTAGTAGTAGTAGTAGTAGTAGTAGTAGTAATGTTGACCCCTGATTAATAACCCCCCCCCCCCCGCCCCCCCCCCCCTCAAGGTTGTCAAGGTCGCAGGCCCCCCACAGGATCACAGACCCCCAAATAATCCCGTGAAGCCAAATTGCAGTAAACAGTGGTGCTAGTAGTAGTAGTAGTCGTAGTAGCAGCAGTAGTAGCAGCGGCAGTAGCAGTAGCAGTAGCCCTTGAAAGAACCGCTTGAAAGAGGACAAGACGCCCTTTAAATGTAGTCTTGCCCCCTTTAAAAGTAGTCTTCGAAGCACTTTTTGAAATTTTAGATCCCCAGACGGTGTTGCCTTTAATCGTGGGGGGTTTTCTGCAAAAAACGATCCTTATTTGGGTGCTGCCTTTCAAGTAGTACAGATTGGGGCCGGAGCCGCCCGCAGGCCGCCTTTAATCGTGGGGGGATTATTAATCCTAGGTCAACATTAGTAGTAGTAGTAGTAGTAGTAGTAGTAGTAGTAGTAGTAGTAGTAGTAGTAGTCAGTAGTAGTAGTAGTAGTCGTCGTCGTCGCAGTGGTAGTAGTAGTAGTGGTAGTAGTAGTAGTAGTAGTTGTTGTTGTTGTTGGGGTAGTAGTAGTAGTGGTAGTGGTAGTGGTAGTGGTAGTGGTAGTGGTAGTGGTAGTGGTAGTGGTAGTGGTAGTGGTAGTGGTAGTGGTAGTGGTAGTGGTAGTGGTAGTGGTAGAGGTAGAGGTAGAGGTAGAGGTAGAGGTAGAGGTAGAGGTAGTGGTAGTGGTAGTGGTAGTGGTAGTGGTAGTGGTAGTGGTAGTGGTAGTGGTAGTGGTAGTGGTAGTGGTAGGGGTAGTGGTAGTGGTAGTGGTAGTGGTAGTGGTAGTGGTAGTGGTAGTGGTAGTGGTAGTGGTAGTCGTCGTAGTAGTAGTAGTAGTAGTAGTAGTAGTAGTAGTAGTTAGTAGTAGTAGTAGTAGTCGTCGTCGTCGTCGCAGTGGTAGTAGTAGTAGTAGTAGTAGTAGTAGTAGTAGTTCCAAATGAACAGGCTGAGAGTTTCGTCAACCCTGAATTCCTATACAAGGCAATATGTAGTATAGTTAATGACGCTTTATGACCCTCGAAAAATGGGCGATGTGGCTCACGGCTCAGGCCGGGATGCGACGGGAGAAGAGACATAGCTGTTGCGACATCTCGTTGATCAGCTTCCGTAGGCTCTTTCCATCTTTGTGCCCTCTACGGGACATTGGCCTCTATTTGCCACGCACTACATCCGTCTAGGCCAGTATGTAAACTTACAGCGCCGAGCCGGCATCTGTCGAGCCCGCATGCTAAGCTGCTGCCCACATCCGTTGACCTGCTCCTGCACCGCGGTCTGACCCATACAGCAGACATTGGAGGGAGAGGAATCATCGACACCTCTCGGTAGCCATCCAAACATAGGTCCGTGACCCCAAACATTTGGGTTTCAGGGTATACGGATTTGGGGGTTTTGGGCATCATGGTTAACTGCTTAGGGACTTTGTTGCCAAAACCACCCTCAAGACTCTCCCCTAAACCCTTAACCAATAACCCAAGACCCGAAACCCTGAAGCGGTAGCCCTACACTCTACCCCCTCCTCGCATACGAGATCCGTACATGGACATCAGCCTTGTAGGGGAACTACAGTACAGGTCAACGTGTAAGATTATGTAGAGGTTGTAATTTAACATAGTTTAACACCAAAACGCAAACGAAGGTGACTTTCTTATCGTTATCTTTATTATGGTTGTAATTCTTCTTCTACTTAATGTCATTCTTCTAATAACTATACGAATCGCTAGTGCCAATCTTCAAAGCCCTATAAAACCCAATCCCTAGTCAGTAGACTCTAAACCCTCGGCTATTGTAGAACCTTGCGAAGAAGAACCTCCAGCGGCTCGAGCGCGCTTGCGACGCGCAGGATGATGCGGACCTGCAGATCTTTTTGCTGGATTGAGGGGTTTAGGGGTGTTTAGGGGTTTTGGGTGTCAGGGTTCGGGGTTTAGGGTTTTAAGGGTTCAGGCTTTGGTAGTTTAGGGTCGCAAGGTTTAGGGTTTAGGGGTTTTAGGGTCTGGCGTTTAAGTTTGACGATTTAGGGATAACGGTGCAGGTTTAATATGGTTTCTAGCGCTCGTCCAAAATATCCTCATCGGCACCGCATCTGGCAATTGCACCGAGCTTCAAATGTTTAAAAAAACCAAGGTGTCCGTGGTCTCGTGCTTGGGCTACAGGCACAAGAAAACATTACTGGTACTGAGTCGTTCCGGAGTAATGAAAATGAAACTAATTGCACGACAGACTAGGCAGGTGCGAGAACTATGGGCACACAAATTTTAGCGGTAGCGTTGATCACCTTTCACCGTTATTCCAATAATTACTGCTGATTAGCTCCAACTTTGCTCGTGACTCGTGGTAGCTTGCTCTGTTGTTACCAACTCTTTCAACTCCCCAGATGTTGCCTGCGTCTCGGCCCCTTTGACCAAAGCGCCGAACCTGGGGTTGGAAACTTCCAAAATCCCAAGGGGTGTGACTTGAACATCTGAGGCATTGCTGAAGCACTACAACCCCGGAGCCTGCGCTTGGGAAGGAGGGTTTAACACTGCAACAGCTTAACACTTACAAATTTGACGCTTTATGCAGCCCTCCCCACACTGTGCCAGTTGATGTCGGGACTAATATGATTTCTTTGTTGTGTTTACACGCTCAGGGGCTGCTGCTTCCGATTTGCAAGCTACTACTACTGCTACTACGAACCATTAAGCGGAATTAAGCAGGGCAAGATTGACATGCAAGTTTGGCCATCCTGGTGTGGCAAAATTGGGCCCCGGGGGTGCGATCTTGGTCACCTACCGCTCGCACCACTTGGCGGCAATTTTGTAATGCTACTACTACTTCTGCTGCTACCCTTACTCCTACTCCTACTACTACTGCTTCTTCTTCTTCGTCTTTGGTTCGGCTGCTGCTACTGCTACTGTTACGACGACTGCTGCTGCTGGTGCTGCTTCAGCTGCTGCTTGTGCTACGCTGCCAATACTGATGCAAGGACGTGCAAAACTTCAACACACGTGAGGTGTCCTAGGATAGAAGGCATTCGGATACGTGCAAGATTTCGGACGACTCACACGTGAGAGCACGCGATGGTGGAATCATGGAATCATGTTTCAAGGTGATGTGTGAGATACAACCGTTGCAGTAAGTGCAAACGAAGAGGAAGCCAGCTTGAACGGTGACATCGAACGGCGTGCAGTTCTTGCGTGCCCAACTAGCCGCAACTAGCTGTGTTTCCAGCACCACTTAAAGCGGACTGCTAATTACATGGCTATCACTATAGGAAGAGCAGCTGCATGACTACTAGACGAGCAACAAAACTCGTATACAGCCCACCAATGTGCTGGCTTCGATAGCTGTTGTTGAATTCTGACCTAAGCTACACTGAACCTGAGTACAGCGCCGGCTTCATCTCGAAACAGACTGAAGCAGAGCGGCGCATGATGGTTCCGTGTTTTTTCGAAGCCTGTAAAATGCATGTTCGCCACAATTTACTTGCAAGGAATGCTCATACCTGTCGTTGTGTTCACATGAACCCCGAAACTTGAGCTCAACCAAAGGAGAAAGGTGGTAGGCCCAGCCATTAACGGCAGGGCACTCCACACCCCTATAGCCGTCCACAACGGCGAACCCGTGTGGGGTGGAACTAGTGTCGGTGCGTAGAAATCGTGGACTTCCGGCAAAGCTGCTAACAAGACTCTCATGTTTTGCCGACAGTTGCACCCTAAAGCGCCTGGACCCTAAACTAGGAAACCTAAGCAATACAGGGTCCCATAGTCTTCAAAAAAAGACCGAGTATCACATTCGAGCTCGTGGGACGTTGCTCAGGGTCTTTAACAAGTTGGGTTTAGGGTTTGCGCTTAGGGAACCCTGAACCCTGCACTGTAGTCGTAGTTGTCTTGCCCCGTCATCGCTGCAAGCAAAGCCAGCATCTTCTCGGGAATGTCACAGACACAACCTTTAACATGCCGTGGCCTGCAGCATCAGCATCGCATAATCATCAAGAACATCATCCTCCGCATCAGCACCATTTTCTTCATCATCTTCAGATCATCATCGTCATCATCACCATCATGATCATCGTCATCATCATCAATGTCATCTTCATCGTCATCATCATCATCTTAACCCAACTACCCAAATTTCCTGATCATTGGACTCCTCAACCGAACCCTGCTGTTCCAAGACATCATACTACCAGATACATCATCGCGAACACGATAGGCACTGTCCAGGGTTTAGGGAAGACGTAAACAGGCTTTAAGTAGTAGATGCGGGATCGAAGTTTGCAGCCAGCACAGTCTAAGATGGCGCGTCTGACAAGGGAGGCTTTGAGAAGTACAAACGTATGCTAGAGAAACCCAAAACTCGAAAACCAAACCCTGACCCCATCTGCAGACGCGAGATGCAATTCAAAGTTTAATCTAGGGGCCTCGATAGTTAGAATAGGGTTTTGGGGCCCGTTCTACTAAAAAACATATTATGAACCCCCCAAAAAAACAAAAAATGGTATGGGGTAATTAATTATGTAGGCCCATGTAGGCCCCTATAGTACACAAAGCTCTGGCGACTGAAGGGGGTAATCATGCGAAGAAAACACACTGCCATGAGGTGCCCATTGAAGAATGTCTGGTTCCTCACCCCAACTACACTGGGGTCTTTTCGTCTGATCCAAAAACCTAACTAGACTCCAAAGTGCAATACCTTTCTTTGAGGTGTTACCCTGGCTTTTTCGGGATCCTAAAACTTAATGAACTCTGCATGAAAATGTGCTACGTTCTCTGGTCTAGGTCAAACCCCAACCATACTGAACCCATCCCGGTATGGGAACATTATTCCTGAGTGTTTCTCATTAATCACGATACAGCATGCCCTCAAACCCTGTTCTAACTAAAAATGTGTATGTATATATACGTACATACATACATACATACATACATACATACATATATATACATATATATACACCTGTTGACATTCATACATTCATATTTGTATTTATACTTCTAGTTTTATTCTTATGTATGCATGTACGTTAGTATGTATGTACGCATGTATGTATGTATGCATGTGTATATACATATAATATGTGAACCCTGAACCCCAAACCAGCCCTAGACTCGAGCCCGTAAACCAGCGACTGACAAGGCACTGCAGCTGGAGCGGCTCGAGATTCCTCCGGCAGTTTTAGGGTTTAGGGTTTCAGGCAGGGTTTAGGGAATTAGGAAATTAAATTAAGTAGGCTTTACCTTAAGTTCCATGACCTACTTTTTGTGTAGGTTCTCGTTAAGCCCCAAGATAGAATTAACATCGACCCGACAAGGAAGTAGGTTTTGGTAGTTGAAGATAGGACTTACAAGGACTTGGGGTTTAGGCTGTAGCGTTTAGGGTCTAGAATTCCAAACTTTAGAGGTGTTTGGGTATAGCGTCTGGGAATGAAGATGTATCCCTGTCGGTTTACTGGTTCACGATGTAGGATGTCTTTTGGCGCAAGCCCAAGCCCGAGGACACCCCAGGATTCTGGCTGGGGCATGAGTAGATGATCAGAATAGGGTTTGAGTGCATATTATGTTCTAGGCATAAAGAGGAACCCCGAGGAATAGTGCGTAATCATTGGCGGCTATGCTCAATCCTAGCCCGCCTGAACCACAATCCCTCCGGTATTACAACCCTGACCCTACTTCCCCCCATCCCGGCCCACAACATCCGATGATTCCCGCTTAAAACCCGAACCCTAAACTCTGAGTTTAATAAACGGCCTCGGGATTCCATTTATTCCGACCCCTATAGCAAACCCTGTGCTGACGTGCCGGCAAAGCTCAAGCCCTGCACAATGCGTTGCCCCGGAATGGAGACGCGCGCATCAATGACCTCTTCACGGACGAGCTACCGTTTACCGGCTAGAGGCTAGGGTTTTAGGGTTTAGGGTTTCTGCTTCTGGGACGGAGGGAAGTTCCTCAAATTGAATTGCTCAGCCCCAAACTCCAACTCCAATACGTGGCCTAACCGCAGCGCAATAAAAACCCAAAACCTACACCCAGAACCCAGAACCCTCGAATAGGGTATAGGGTTTATGCAGCAAGCTGCTGGTATAGGGTTTATGCAGCAATTTGCTGGGTGCAGGGCTTGCTTGAGACAAGGTCCTTGACGAGCAGTCTCTCAGAGGCGAACCACGAAATCTAAGCCAACACCCTCTTTCCCCAAATGAACCCTGAAAGGACTTAGATGGTTCATATCTCACGTTGCTACCGTGCATGACTTTGTAATGTTTTCTAGCAATTTAAGGTGTACTACACTGTTTCAGGGACGTCTTGTCCTGAAGGTATGGGGCTCTTACGCTGACAGCAAGCATCTGGTGGCTGAGGTGCAGCCGGCAGAACCCGCTATGGCGTGGCGCGCATTTCGATGTTGTGGGTATGGCTACCCAAAGGCCCCAAAGTAGTTCCTTTTTGGGATTCATATATAGAAACCTCTAGGGTAATCCCAAAAAGGAACTACTTTGGGGCCTCTGGGTAGTTTCGTGATGTGGGCCAAGCCGAGCTCTCCGGTTTCACCGTGTCGCGCAATGTGGACACATGGGGAGATCTTTGGAGAGCTGCTCTTGCACCCTTTAGCGTTCTACGCTGATGTGCTTCTTCAAACGCTAAACCCTCCGAGCCTCCTCGTCTGAGAAGCAAACCCATGAAACCTAACCGAAAGAACCTTCAAAACATCCGGATAACCTGAGCCTGAAACCGAATCCCGACCCTAAACAAACCCTCAACCCCTAAACCCCGAAAAGCCTAAACCCCAAACCCTAAACCCCTAACCCTAAAACCTGAATCATATGCCACCACCCAAACCCAAAGGGACCGGAGGGTATGCATATTTACATATATATATATATATATATATATGCTCACCCCCCCCCCGGTGACAGACCACGGGTCTAAAAAACACCGTGCACAACGACATTCTGTGAAGCAAAACCGTTACATGAGGTATATAGTATAGCACCAGACGTGCGGCACATGAGTTACGTAATAGTCTTGTGGTAGTATCGGTATTAGGGTGAGTATTGTTATTAATATTAGTACTATTGCTTGCTGTAAGTATACGTATCAATATTGCCAACTATAAATTAGTGTTAGTGCTCATGTTCGTGTTAGAGTTAGCGCTAGTGCCAGTGTCAATGTCAGTAATACAGCACCACTGCTACGAGTAGTATCAGTATCAGTCTTAATGCTGGGTTTAACAGCAGCTTATATTCGCAGAAGTGCTAGTATTAGTATCAATATTAGAACTAGTTAGTTTTGATATGTTAGTATATTGATAGTCTCGTATATTAGCAGATTAGTATATCAATACATCAATGTATTCGGACAGCAAAATATTTGCATACTTGTATACTAGTATATTTTACATGTTAGTACAACTGGTGCATGACTACACTACTATACTGCTGTATTAGCTTACTAGTATATTGACATACCAGTATATTCGTACGTTAGCATATTAGTGTACGAATATGTGTACTATATTACTGTTTTATCTAATCATGTATAAGTATATCAGTATGTTGGCATATTAGTATACGAACTTGTCATGTCGGTATTCTTGCATAGTGCAGTAGCCGTATATGATTATAGTCACATATTCGTATAGTATGTTCATACAACAACGAGAAGTATATTGATACATTGGTATATGGGTATATGCCTATGCCAAAGCATTAATACATGAATGCACTGATGTATATATCTGTATCTTAAGATAGTGGTACGTATTTTATGTACATGAGTATATGCAGGTGTCTATTAGTAATGGTATTAGTTTTCATATCAATATGAATATACTATTGGTATTCGTAGGAGTATTAATGTCAATACTAGTAGAAGTAGGACTATTTATACTCGTAATAGCCATAATATGAGTGTTCATGCTGGTAATACTAGTGGCATTCTTGAATATGCAGCAGATTATCAAAGTCCGTATTAGTGTTGGTGATAGCACTACTGTTAACGCACAAGGGTTTACGTATTCGTATTCGTAGGAGTATAAATAGCTATGTAAATATTGATGTTAGTATAGATTTTGTGTTAAGTATTAGCAGTAGTGTTAGCGTTAGTACTATCATATTATTGATGATATACATTCGAAAGAATGTTTGTATTGTTATTACTCTTGACCACGTGAAATTCTAACAGTTGAATTCATGAGTGAGTTAAAGGATTTGTATTTTAATATGGTGGTATGCATGTTTATGTACATTAGTACATACAGGTGTGTGTTAGTATTGGTATTATTATACATTATTATCAATATGAATATGGTCATTGATATGCGTAGGAGTACTAAGAGCAATACTAATCAATCTTAGTATTTGTGTTATGCATATTCGTACTAAGCTTTATAGAAGTGTAATATTAGTAGTAATGCTGGTATTAGCTTGAGCATTCAACAAATGATCAATGTCAGTATGTTCAATGGCAATACTATATGTAGGAGTATCAATACATATATGTATATATAGATATACAGATAGATAGAGAGATATTCGTGTAAATATGGGCATGAGTATTGACAGCCCTTGCCTTTGCAAGTAATCTGGTCCGATGCGGAGACTAGCACGACAAGGCGCGCGGGTGTCCTACCAAGAAAGGAATTACAGAGCACACGTGTATGGATGAGGGTTGTGCTGATACACTACATAGTAAGCACTACACAGTAATCTTACTTGAGTCATATATAGAACAGATTCCAGCATTTCCAAACTTTCCAAAATTTCCAAAATTCTCTCCCCTAACTTTCCGCATTTCCAAAATTTCCAAAATTTCCAAAATTTCCAAAATTTCCGAAATTTCCAAAATTTCCAAAATTTCCAAAGAAATTTTGGAAATTTTGGAAATTTTGGAAATTTCGGAAATTTCGGAAATTTTGGAAATTTTGGAAATTTTGGAAATTTTGGAAATCCGGAAAGTTAGGGGAGAGAATTTTGGAAATTTTGGAATTGAGGCTTTGAAAGCTGAGTGCCCCCTCCCCCCGATCACAGACCATGCACTACGACTGAGTCGAAAGGGCATGGTCTGTCATGGGGGGGGGGGTGACCATATATATATATATATATATATATATGTATGTATATCAGGTACTTATGTATGTGTGTTTGTACGTAGGCAAGTATACCGAACATACCCTCACCCCCTCAGGACATAGGTATAGGGGTTGGCTTTTGTACGGGTTTGGTCTAGTGTTTGGGGTTAGTGTCTGGAATACCAATAAGATGGCTCCATGATGGGGTCCCTCTTTGGGCTCGGAGCACGAGTAAAGGGAGCTAGATAGCTCCTCCGCTGCAAACCTGGTATTCTGTGACATTCCTTTGTTGAAGACCTGGTGTTCTGTGACATTCCTTTGCTGAAAACCCGGTATTCTGTGACATTCCATTGTCGAAAACTCGGCATTCCGTGATATTCCATGGTGATCTGTGATATTCCATTAGTGAAATCCCGGTCTCCTCTGATACTCTGGCCCTGGGGCTTGCCCGGAACCCAGGAAAAATCTAGCTTTTTCTAGCTTTCGCTAGCCTCTTCTAGCTTTTTCTAGCTTTCGCTAGCCTTTTCTAGCTTGTTCTAGCTTTGTCTAGCTTTTGGTAGCCTTGCCTAGAAGAGCGGATTCCGATCGTACGAAAATATTAGCAGTTCGGGGTCTGAGCCAAAGAACCTCCTGAAACAAATGCATTTAGGCGCTATGGCCGACGGATCGGCAGTGGATTGCCGGCACAAACAGAAGTCAAAGCCCGCCTCCGACTGCTAGGAATAAATAACACCCACCTGTAGTTTCCTGCTGTGTCTTCACTTGTTACAGGCCCTTCAAGGGCACACTGTACCACAGGAAATCCGTAGCTTCCCAGCCCAGGACATACTTCAATACAGGAAACCCGTAGCTTATCTTAGTTTCCCTTAGCTTCTCTTAGCTTCTCTTAGCTTCTCTTAGCTTCTCTTAGCTTATCGTAGGTTTTGCTTAGTTTCTTGCAGATTCCTGCGAAAAGCTGTGGAAAGCGAGATATGTACGCTTAATCAAAGAGGCGCCCAATCATTGAGCCATCTTACCGGTTTTAATGATAGTGCTTTTTCGAGTTCGGATTCCAACTTTTCGCGGAGGTTGACTTGCCCAAAACCCGACTTTGAAACTTACACCCCGCAACCCCAGATCATGAACCTCAGAAGCATGGCAAGTACACTTAAACCCGGGCACTGTGAACAGCCCCATAAACCCTAAACCTTAAACCTTCCAAGGCTTTACTTTACGGCTCCTTATTTCGATTGACGGCAACAGGGATTAGGCCTATACAGGTTGGTTTATAAAGGGTCTTCTAGTTTAGTAGGGTGTATAGGCTTAGGGCTTAGGTTTAGGCTTTGGGGCTTGAGGCTGTCCTTTCTTCAGTAGATGGTAAAGCGTGCTTTCCGCAGGGTCCAGATGCGGCAGCCGTCTCTCCCTTTGCCCACGTGAACCCAAACCCTACGCGCTATTTGTCGTTGATGTGCGAGTTCATGCATATGTATTTATCTATATATATATATATATATATATATATATATGCAAAATATGTGCGCATATATGAATATATAGATATATATATATATATATGTATATGTACGCATAGATACACACACACACACCTCTACACTCATACACGCATCCACCAACCCATCCATCCATCCATCTAGCCAGCCAGCCAGCAAGCCAAACATCCAACCATCCATATATCCGGAAGATCCGCCCCTGTGCGTGCATGTATGTTCGTATTTCTCTACACATACAGGTAACCCTTAATGGAACTTACTGTCGATGGTTTCGGACCAAATCACTATCAAATTTAAATAAAGCTTCTGTTAATGTGTTGGGCCCCAAACCACTACCAAACTGATCTTTCTGTTCATGTTTTCAAACATGAGCTCTGAGCCACCATGGACCATAGCTGATGGTCTGACAAAAGGGCTTCGGGGAGGCATGATCCTCGCCATGTTGTGGGTGTCTCAGGCGGACTGTGTGAAACCCTAAACCCCACGGAATCCAGATCATAAGCCCCGCCTTCCCCAGCAAGTCCGTAAGTAGCAGATCGAAACCGTTCCTCGCCGGGTCTTTGAGGGTGGAGTTAGGGTTTTGAAGGCACCAGGCTAGAGGTTTTAGGAGTTGTTCGGAGTCAGCATTGCCTGCTGTTTGGCTGGGCTATACTTTGGAGTAGTTACTTAGTTTGTGGCAATTTAAGGTGCAGGGAAGGAGCTGGAGCGTAGGTTTAGGGCTTCTGCGGGTTTGGGGCAATGCCTTGGCTCCTGAATGCAATTCCTCGTTGGAGTACTCTGATTTCAGTACTAGAATCGCAACGTTGACTCGGTCATATAGAAAACCAGCTGGGACATCGAGGTGGGTTCAACTCCACATAGATGCGAAAAATTGCGCACTGAACTACGCGGTTGGCCTCGGCTTTTTCTTCTTTCAAAGAGTCCTAAGTACCTACATGGTTTGTACTTACCCAAACACTAATCATGATTCCTACAGAACCCCTACTTTCCACCATGTAGGTACAAGGGACACCGTGGGCCTTAATGGTGCGAGGGAAATGGGCGTTGACGAAGGATATATACATACCTTTCTGGCCAGGACTTCTTCCAAAAATGCTGGGGAGGTTGCAATGCTACCCAGAGGATCCAAAGAAAGCCATAGTAAGGTTGGTAATCGGGGGGCCTGGTTCCACAGTGGTAGGAAGTATGGTAAGGAAACCCAGGAACCATACTACTAAACATTTAGGCCCGTGTAGTTGGAGGATGATGTGACTTAGTAAGTACGACAAGTTACGATCATTTATTACAGGTATTATTGCCCATTGCGCTAGCCCATGTTATCGGGTCTCATGAACCTTGCTTAGATAACAACCCTGACCCCTTAACCCTAAATCCTACTGACCAGAAATCCGTAATGAGCATTTACCAGGGAACCCACAGTCCATTGTACCTAGGGTCGATAGACTTTCATTTGAATACAAAGTGTCTTGGCAAACAGAAGATGCCTTCAATGGAGAGGATCAATTGTTGAGGCTTGGGGCACCCTAAACCCTAAACTCTCAGTCCCCATTCGGGTGCATTAAGGCTTCGCAGAGTATTTTCTTTCGGGGTTACGGGGTTCAGGGTTTATGGTTTAGCGTAGGAGTTCGGATTTAGGGCTTGTTGCTTATAGGGCTTAGGATTTCGGGTTTTGGGGTTCAGTTGCCGCAGTTTAGGGTTTAGGACTTCGAGCTCCGTGTACTTGTGGAGCACACGAAAAGGGTCTCGTGCTACTGGTATATGCTCACCAATACTATCCTTGATGCGCGCTACACACACTCACCAAAAGGAAACAACTTGAATGGTCTTGACCCAACTCACTGAAACCCGAACCCGCCGACCCTAAGCCCCTAAATCCCTATAGAGCACCCTAGATCTGACTCCCAACTCCCAAGCCTCCTGGTGCCGAACCACAACTAGAATTCCCAGTAAATGACAAACCTTAGAAATCGTCAGCCAGAAATCATGCAGCTGCCGTGGAACCATGTGGGCCATTGAACTTCTCTTTATTGCCGACTGGCCGCGGCTAGCCAAGTGCGAAGAGCTCTGGCGTCATCTGCAGTGTCTTTGTCCTCGTGCGGACAGCAGCCGCCTTTGGCTTAGGCCGCGCCCTAAACCCTAAGCCTAAACCCTAAACCGGACAAATCGGTCTTGGAGCTCGGCCTGCGTAACCAGGTTGTCAGGGCTTTCGCGCAAGCGAAGTGCGAACAGCTTTGGCGTCCTCGGCCTCGGCCATAAGTTCTCCTGTTCCTCCCAAGTCGCACCCAAAGACACAACGTTCTGTGAGTCTCCCCAAAGACTAATCACAATCATAATCCAACTGACAGTTTCCATAGCAATAATACTAATTAATGACAATGATAAACATAAGAAGAAAAAGACTGCAATGACAAAACCATTCTAGAACAAATATTAGCTGACAGTAACACCAATAGTAACCATCACGATTCAACATAGGAACTAATCATACCAAACTTGCAATACTAACAATAAGGTTTCATGGCTGAAAGCTCAGGGCACTGAAAACCCTATAGCCTGCCCTCACGCCTATATATGCACCCACACAGCCCTAAACCCAAAAACTACAACCTAAACCCCAAAAACGCCCCAAACCAAAAGCCTAATTGAACCTAAGATCCTCATCCCCTGTAGAGCGTGTATAGTTAGCAGAAGCTTTTTTAGGAGGTGATGATCCTCTAAGTGTATGGGGACTCTGCGAAAGGACATTATTCCCATCTATTCCAACCCCCCGAGGCAAGACTTGAGCCGCTAGCATCCTATAGCCTTACAACTTCTAACAGCCCCGGCCAAACAGCCTGCGAGTTCCCAAACCCTCCTTGACGGTGTAAAGGCCGGAGTCAGCAGACCCGCCATGAAGGCGTAGCTGCCAGGCGCCAGCGTACTTGGCCCCAGAAAGCAACTTTAAAGTCTAGAGTTTAAGAAGCAAATTCAAGACAAAGGTGTTGAGGCTTCGGGCTTACTCATTTTCGGTGGTTATGGTCGCGGGGCTGAGGGCATAGCATCTGGGCTCTTAGGGTATTAGGGCTTGGTGTTCTCGAGTTTATGGTTCTGGGCTTTTTGAAGGCCCACCAAACTTCCTAGCAGACCGAGTTTGGGGGGATACCTTAATTATCAGGACCCCAGTACGTAGACATTAGGTTGCCAGAAGAAGGACCTGTTTAAATCCAGCTCGATGGCGACAAGTGACAATTGAGGGCAAAGCCACTCTAAACCCTAAACCCTCAACACCTGTAGCCTAAACCCTAAACTCTTAAGCCGTGAACCCTATGACGTCTTTCCTTGGGGCCATGGTTCGAGGCTTCTGTGTTTTGAGGGTTAAGGATATATGAACCCTAGGGTTTTGACGGTTAGGGTTTGGGGTTTAGGGTTTTGAGTTTAGGCCAAGAGCCTATGCCCGACAGGGGTCAGAGTTCTCGCTTTGGGGCTGCGCAGCTTCGGGATGCAGAGCAGCTAATATAGGGGCCTTAATAATTTGAACAGGGTTCCTTTAACGGGGTCCTTTAAATCGGACTACTGTAAGGGGTATATAAGGGTACTTTAGTATGGGGAAAAGCGTTTTGTGGCCCATTATCCTATACTTAAAATTAGGAACCCCCCAAAGTACTATAGGTAATTATCTAGGCCCCCATGCCATAGAACCCTATAAACCCCTTTATAGACCCCTCTAAGGAATCCCCAAAATGGTATAGATAGTTATTTGGGCCCCCGTACTATGGCGGTTTGTGAAATTTGTTTTTGGCTTGGGAGCAGGGGCCTTCGTAGAACTTTGCGCAATTAACACACACTTAGCAATGGATTCCGGTGGTTTAGGGTTGAAGGGGTTTAAGGTTTAGGGTTTACTAGAACATACTCCCAGACATTACTCCAAATATTAAGATCAGTTTATTTACCTGCATATCACCTGTTTGACCCTTGCATCGAATGGCTCCTGCCATGCTCAACCTTACGCTGCAGCCAGGTCGCATGTTGATTCCTAGGCGAACGCAGGCAACAACAAAACACATTATTGCAAGATGGATCGAGTCGTTTCGGCGGGCATCGTCACGGCTCAAGTGGGCGCTTACGTAGCGAACCAGCGACAATGCAACATCCATGACCTTACACCCCCAACGCCGAACTCTAGTGTCCAAAAAAAGCCCTAACCCTGAAAGCCAACCCAAGTCCTAAACTCCAACCCGATCCCCGCAAACTATACGTCCCTTAAAACAGGGTTTGAGCTATAGTAGACAATATTTATTGGGCTCAGAACCCAAACAAAACCCTAAACTCTGCGTCGTTCGAAAACCCTAAACTCTAAATTTTAGGCTTTAGGGTTTGCATTGAGATTAGGGCCTGCTTTGGGTTTATAGGGCTTTGGGTCTAGAGCTCGGCTAGTCCTTGGATACTTGAACATAAGATTTGGGTCGTTGGGGCATGAGCTGCGGCTGCAAGGTTCGGGGTTAAGGACACTGAGCAACTGCTTGAGTGCTTAGGGTTTCGGGTGCAAGGTTTATATAGACCTTTTAGGCTTTGAGGATGCGTGACCGCAATGACCAAGCAGTTCGAAACCTGCAAACCTCGCAGCCCTAACCCTCCAAGTCTCAAATGGTGGACTGGCAAACGGCCCGTCTCGACTTAGGCTCGCAAGCGCAAGGTCGTGGCTAGATGCTCCAAAGTCAGGTATGATGTTTGCCTTTGAAACCTTTGCGTAAACCGCCTAAACCCACCCTACCATGAGACTCCAAGTATATAGGAACACCTACCTTATGGTCTAAGACAACTAACATAATACACACTTCGGGCCAGTTGGGGTGTTACGGTATGGGGGTCTTGATGGTGTAAGGGATTTTGGTCTTCTGGTTTCGAAGACTTTTACTCTGTCTCTCTGTAATTGCTAAGTAGCATCATATACCTCCGCCCCCAACAAGCCTAAACCCTAAACCCTAAACCCTAAACCCCAAGACTTGAGGCTTTCCGAACTTCAGCAGTGCGGCGAAGGCGTACACCGCCTCCTCTATTGTCGCAGGAGGAAAGCCCAGGCAGGAAGAGCGCGGCAAAGCCTGGAAAGATCTTGATGGAACCGGAAACCCTAAACTCTAGAGGTTAAGGTTGTAAGTATAGGGTACCCTACATCCTATAGACCCTAAACCCAAGGACAGGCAGGGCCTTGCGGTTTAACCTGAACAACTACGTAGAATTGGGGTTTGGTTGGTATATTCAAGCACAGTTGGTAAAAATTGCTAATTCTGCTGCGGACCCTGAGGGATACTAGTGATTTCAGGCCCCTAGATTGTAGAGAAGCTCGTGAGAAGAGCGAAAGGCCTATGAAGAAGGAAGTCTCAACATCAACGTCCACGCCATCGACTCTGGCTTCGTTCATGCGGCTCTGTGATTTGTTAGGAGCATTTCGGCCCGCTAGCTCTGTGGAATGAAACATAATGTCAAGTGTAGTTTCGGAAAAGGTAGTTTTCTGAATTATGACATAGCTGATCCGGAGTCAGCCTCCATGGCATTGAAGTTAGGGAAGCAGCTCTTTATCGGATCTGACATTTGGGCAATGCTTGCAAGGAGGACCCTATTATGGAATACAGTGGCCTTAATTATCATAATAGCGTTTGGGTTAACTAAAACGTTGTTGCGATCTCTATGTTAGGGTCAACGTTTGGGTGTTGCGACAAAGATTTTCATGCAGGGGTTTTGGCGTTTTCGGGTTTGAAGACCAAGGATTAGGGTTTGAGAGTTTAAGTTAAGATACTGGAAAGGCTTTCAAGCAGCACGGAGCTCTCTTGTGCAACAGAATGAAGGGGGCATACCAACTTTCAAAAAAGTCCGGGGCTCCAAGCACGATCAAGCTCTCGGTGGTTTGACAAGAAAACAGCTAAAGGGTTACCGGTTTAATGTCCACTACCCTTGTTGCATCGCTTGAATTTGGTCATTAGGGCGTTCAGGGTTATTGATGCACTTGCTTCAGGATGGGTTAGGGTGTTCTTTGGTTTCATGTATGATTAGGTTCGTCGAAACAGGTCCAGATGCATAATGTGGCATTGTTCGTGGCCGTTGGGCAGAACGGGATGGCAAGAGTGAGTTCTAAACAACCATCGCTCTTATGATAACGGCAACATCCCCCAAAAGGAAATCAAGCACCGACTCCCCTTGTCGTGCCGGGCATGCAGTGAACTTCATTGAATGCCTAAACCCGGCTCACCGCGTCTGGACTCTTAGACTTAGAGAAAGGTCGAACACTTCTGTAGTAAGTCTCCAGCCGTCTTCCGGCAGACACGAGGCCCGGTAGGTATCCGGAGTGATCACCTGTCACTGAGAGCAGGGTAGGAGTTCAGGGTTTACAAAGTTTACAGGGTTGGAGGGTTCGGGGTTGAGGATTTCGGCATTTTTGCCTGCAAGGTTCAAGGCTCCTTCTAGCATTGGACACATCGCTGGAAAGGGCGCTTGGTAGGTTGAGAGCTTCAACCTGCGGCCTAAAACTCTGTGCAGCATTTCTTGGGGGCCACTGCTTGCTTCTCTCTCACCTCGCACGCATCAGGGAACCCCAAACCCGAAAGGAAGGCTTGAATTCCAGGCAGCGTATCGGCCTTGAAGCTCAAAAATGCTTAGTTTTTAATTTTAGGCTAGGGCTAGGGCTAAAGACTATCACCTGCTGTTCTAGATGATGATGATGATTATTATTATTGTTATTCCTACGACTATTACTACTTGAGTTCGGGTAGGTAGCCCCCCCCCCCCATATGGGAAGTGGGAACCTGTTGGGCAACGCCGGCTTTTGTTTTGTTGTAAGTTCTGAGAGGCCCAGTGATCTTTGTCCGCTGTGGGTTCCGTAAACCCCTAAACCCTCAACCCTGAACCAAACCCTAATCAAGGTTCTTACATTCGTGCTCTTGGCAAGGCTTCGGGGGGCGAAGCGGCCTATGAATTGACACTGCCCCGAACCCTGTAGCAGTCTAGATTAGGGGGTAATATCAAGGACATATATATATATATATATATATACACATATATATAACTATGCCACAAATGCTATCTAACTGTTACACAGTGGGGCAGGACGTCGCATGTAGGATTAGTAATGGTATTTAGGGTCCAGACTGTCTAATTTAGCACACATTGGACATGGAAACCCTAAACCCTTACCCCGAAACCCCTAACCCGAAAACGCTAAACCCTATAAACCCTATCAGCCGAGGATCGGGTCTCTGAAAATTATAATGCGCAGATTTTGCAAACCTAACTTTCCAAGACCTGAGCCCTAGATAATTTACTCTCTACCAGCAATCCACGCCTTACAGGTTTTTGGGCTGCAGGTTTTTGTTTGTTTGGGATACCGTGGAGGCTATCCTTCAACCCTACCCTACCCCTAAACTCCAGACCCTAGGACACTAGACTCAAAACCGGAACATGCCTCGACGTAGCCACCACCCATCAAGGTCTGGGCCGTGCGGAAATGCACGAATAGGTGGACCACCTCAGCACGGATGTTGGCCTGACGCCCTATGGGCAACTGCCATACCAGCTTCGTAAACCCAAAGTCCCAAACCGCTCTCATATTACCTGGTCCACTCTCCAGTGCTGAGGCTTAGACAGCAGACGGCACCCCACCATAGTTGATGGTGGCCTCCTGTCATGAGCCCTGACTCCCCAAACCCGGAAACCTCCACAACAAGCCCCCAATCCTCCGAATTCATCCCCAAAAACCCTCAACCCAAGCCCTGCCGACAAAGGAAGCGAGCAGGAGACCTCGATCCCAGCACTCCTAACCTCATCAATCAGCAAGACGGCTTCTTCGGGACTTTTTTTCGAGCACTGGAGCTCTGCAGAGGGTTTCATGACCTCGAAACCCCTCCGCATCGAGGACTCTGCCGCTGTCGCCAGGCAGCTGGCGCAGGCTCAGGGGCTCAGGGGCACCTTCTGCCCAGAACAGTTTCTGCATTTCCTTGGACAGCAAAGTTCACCCGAAGCTCAGTCGTTTGTCTCCGCGCCCAAAGCCGTTGTAAGCAACTTTGGCCAGAACCAAAATCTTCGAGCCGGCTGCGCCGTGCCCCGCCTGTCGACGCAGACTTGGCCGATGTTGTGCCAGCCAGACATCGAAGCCACCGCCAACCCTTGCTCCCGTGCGTGCTGCTACGCGCCAGAATGCACGTGTTGGGAGATCAACGTGTTGAGGCCGCTTTAGGGTGGGTGTAGTTAGGGGTTAGCCCTTTTAGGGCTGGGGGTGTAAAATCTGAGGATTCGAGGATTCTGGGTTGAGGGCTTCGGCTTCCTGACGTTGCTATCGCAATGGGGTTCAGGGTTTAGGGTTGGTATATACCAGTAAGAAACTGCATACTCATAACAAGAATCAGGCTCTTAACAACCATCGCAGTGGTAATACTACATTGTCTTAAACACCAAAGCTAAAACTCTGCCTAAACCATGTGTTAGGGCCTTAGGGGTTTTGGTGCTTTCGGGTGTTGGGTTAGGAATTGCTCAAATCAGGGCACGGCTTTAGCAAGGGGCAGACTACAAGAACGAGCTAATGTAGGGACCTTAGTGGGCTTGGGCTTCTTTATAGTGTGAATAGAATAAGGAGCCCTTAGGATTTTTTATGTACTTTTCTGGCCACATGAGAACTCCCAAAACAATCCAAGCCCTACAACTTTAACCGAAAGCCTTATAAACCTAATCCTCAGACTATGCATCTGTTGATGTATGCATCAATATAAGTATCAATGTGATTGTGTATATGTCCATATTATGTAAGTAATTAGATGAACAAGTGTGCATATACATGGGTGGTTGTCGAAATTACGATCCCTTTTTGGGTCCCTATTATAGTACGGCACCTAATATTTAGGGTACCCCCCAATAGGACCACAATTTTGACAACCACCCACATGTATATGCTATGACACCACGAAGACCCGACTCCTCCATGGGCGTGACGCCGAAGCCCGGTGAGCTGCCCCAAGCAAGCTCCACCTGATTTAAACCCTAAACCCCCAAAGGGTCCAAGTATATAGCAGGTACTTAGTAGGCGTTTGGGGCTCCAAAGTATATCCTATATTACTACTTGGTCCCTTTGGGACCGTGGATGAAGGGAGTTTCGGGCTTTGTGGGTTTAGCGTTTAAGGAAAAGGGTTGCCCGGGCTTTGCGCGTTCAGGGTGTAGAGTGGCTTAAGAAAGGCCTACGGCTTTTGGGGCCTATGAAGCCTTTATGGGGCTTCTGTAGGGTGCACAAGGCCGTTAGATATAGGCTCCTTTTGGGATTCGATACATTTATGCGGGCTCATGGGCTGAAAGACCCTAAACCCTCAACTCTACACCCCTAAACCCCTGAACCCCTGAACCCTAAACCCCAAAACCGGGTTTAGGGCTTCGGCAACGGGGTCGAGGGGATTACGGCTCAAGTGTTGTAGGCTTCAGGGATTTTCTGAAAGTCCGTGGTTGAAGGAACTTTGGGCTCCTTGGGCTTACAATTGGGCCGTGGTCAAAGTTATGGTTCTTTTTGGGTACCCTAAATACTAGGTGCCGTAGTATAATAGGAACCCCCAAAAAGACCCTAATTTTGACAATCACCCAATTTGAGGTCTTACATTGCACACTATATGCCGCCAAGGGGTTAGGGTTTGGGGCTTAGGGTTTGGGGTTTGTAATATAACGTGTACTAGGGGTTGTAGGCTTAAGGCTGAGGGTTTTGGTGCTTAGGGTTTTAGGGTTCGGGCTTCATAGGGTTTCTTTCGGTAGGCTTTAGTAGGGTGCCCGATAGCTGGTAGCTTAAAAGGGGCTGCAGGCTTCTATTGTTAGGGGCCTAGGCCCTGAACTTTCCGAAGAGCTTCATATCCTCAGGATTCAATGTGTAAGGAACCCTAAACCCTAAATCCCTAAAACCTCAACGGTAAGGTTTCTTCTGCCAAAGGATCCCAGATGGGGCGTGTAGGGCTTAGTGCTTTCGGCCTGGCCTTGCTTTAAGGAGCGCCCTGTCAGCCGTGAACTGTGGCAGTCGCACAGTCTAGGGTTTACAGGTTTCGAGCTTACCCATAGGCTCCATAGTAGTTCCTTCGTGGAAGGATCAAATTTTGAGTTCTACGAAGTAATCCCAAAAAGCAACTACTACAGTATGGGGTTTTAGAGGAATACCCTAAGTCTCTAAACCCTTGCGTTGTTCTTACACGCTCCCGCTGTCGTCGTTGAGTGCGATGTCCACGACCTGCTTGCAAAGCTGCACGCGTGCCTCGACAGACCTACGTGCTGATATTATAGGGCCCTTACCTAGAACAGGGTTTCGGGGACGATTATAGCATTGTTAATCCATAGGTATAAGGACCACAAGGGACGACAAGGGGGATATAATGACTAATTAATCTTTCGATCCATATAGTGCATCCTTGAGTCCGATCCTTTAAGCCTAAACACATCTTAAACTTGTATAGATTTGTAAATTATGGAAGTATTTTAACCCGAACATAAATGTCTTTTGCCTTATAGCCCTGAACCCTACATGACAAAAAAAAGAACAAGGCAGCATGCCTCCCAAACCTAAGCATACCTTAAACACTTTAAAAGCCTGTATAACACTCGATTTCCGGACCTCGCCGGACATCGCACGCGCCAGCCAAGTGTTCCCGGCCGCCTGACCAAGATTGTACGCCCCCTCCCCCCCCCAGAGCGGGTACATGTATTCGAGTAGTCGAGTAGGTGAGTAAACGATTAAACGGGTCAGCATAAATCCACGGACAAAAATGCTTGTGGATGCCTGCTTTAGGGGAATTAAGGATACTGTGGTTGAGCATGGTATGGTTGCGGGTGTAGGCTGCAGCCTCGAACTTCTTACACGGTGACAGGAACTGAAAACAGGAACTACCTATAGTCTCCATTGTAGTTACTTTGCTGGTTAACCAAAAACAATATTATCGGATCCTAACCATAAACTGGTTAACCAAAAAAAGGAACTACAATGGAGACTACAGGTATGAACAACAGTATATGCTCATAAACGGTCTTGTGAATACACAGGAAAAACAAATGCAACTTACTCCTACCCCTCATCACCCACCGACACCCTGCACCCCTGAGATATTGTTCTATGTAGTTCCTCATCAACAACAGTTGCCTGTTGAGTTACATATGTCTTTGCATGCTGGCCACAAACTCGGACAGTGAGTGTCAACCCGTGAACCTAAACGTACAGCTCAATGTGCGACAAGCCCAAACCCTTTCATTGGCCCAAACCTTGCGCCTCCAACCCTACCCTAAACCCTAAACCCTAAACCCTACACGCCCCTAAACCCTAAACTGCTTACCCTAACCCGAAGCCCCCCAGGACGGACCTCCGTGCTCCTACACTCTACACCTTGGTTTCGGAGTAATCCCTTTAAAATTAAGGGTACCCTTTTTCCTACTGCTGAGTTTTAACAAGAGGAGGACTAAAAGGGCAAAAGGGTACTACTCAGGAACCTAGACACTTCTCAGCCATGTGACGAAAGCTGGTGAACTAACCACGCGTAAGCAATGGGTTTGCCCTCAACCCTATATAATCTGGACCCCAATATACCCTCGACCGCGTACGGCGCCCCGTGGCCTTTTCATGTCTTTTCACACTGTCCCACAGGCAGGCCTCTGCTGAGAGCTGTGCAGGTGCCTCGGCCACCAAAGCCGTCTCCACTTGACCTGCAAGGGGGGTTGTTAGGGTGCTGTAGTGGCTCTACACAGAGAACTTGTCGGACTTTACCAAAGGCGTAGAGGGTGTCGTTTTGTCTACACAGAAGGGCTGCGGTTTAGATCTGAGGCTTTCTTGTCTCTTTTCCGTCTGCAGCAGCTGTTTGTAATTTTGCGGCTCAGCTTTTGGGTCGGCGCTTGAGATCTTAAGTTTCTTGTTGCTGTCGTGTTGTCTCCACATTTCCATGTTTGCTGTATGTTGTTGGGTTTGGGTTGCAGCGTTTATGACTCTACCATTATCATGCCGGGAGACCGGCACAGACACACACTATGTTCAGGCTGTTCTGCAAACTTGAAGAACCCAGAAAAGCCCCGAATTTCGAGGACTACCCATACACATAGCACTGGCTCCAGTATTTCGTAGCTGGCTCAAGCCGCAGGTATACCCGAAGCCCGTGCACACTGTTACGAATCCACCAAACCCACAAGCCGACAGACATAAACAGATTGAATCACACTTATCACCTATCAGCTCGGTGCACCCCCTGTAACCCGCCAACAACTTTATAACCCTTGCGCAAACCCTTTGAACCTTGGCCTCCTATGGCTCTCGATTCGACGCCACTTTCTGGTAAACCCTTATGAAACTTTGCAGAACCGTTTTTGAATCGTTTTTGAACTTAAATACACGGCGGCAAAGAACCTTTCACGAACCCGTTATAGAATCCCTTTATCCAACCCTTATCGCGCCCTTTATAGAGCCATTTGCGGAATGATTGAGAAAACTTGAGAAACCCCCTCTAGAACTCTGTATAAAACCCTTGTGCCAGCCTTTGCAGAACCCTTTTCAGGACCCTTGTAGAACTCGGTTAGACCCTGAAAGTAACCCTTGAAGGAGCCCCAACCCCAAACCCAGGGATCCTTAAAGGAACCCTTCATAGCACCGTCCGTGCCCTTACACAACTTCCACGCCTGCTGTAGCGCCTCCGATCTGCCTACATCATGAGGGTTTAAAGTTTAGGGGCTGTCGGGATTATCATTCAGGGCTGTAGGGATTTGGGGTTCAGGGGCTACCGGGATTAAGGACCAGGGATAGCGGGAGTTGGAAATAGGATTTACGGTAAAAGAGATAGGGATGAGAGGGTTTAGGGTTTCGGACTTTCGGGTTTTCCGCTTTAGGGTTTGTAGGGATCAGGATGAACAGCTTGTTTAGGTTGTAGGGGTTATAGTAGGGTCTCGCCGCTTTCTTCGAACCGGCAATTTCCGGAAATTTGCAGCCCGACTGGAAGTTCCCGTTCTAGTGCCTTAAGCTGTCGTGGCTGCTCAAGAGGAGGGCTGAAAGCTGCCAGACATTTAGTGCCCTAATCTGCCTGGTTCTTAGTAGGGAATTGGGGAATGGGTTATAGGGACTACGACAAGGGACTCCCTAGTATCATAGGCATCCATTTACCCATTCCGTACTAGGAGCCATGGAGTAATGCGAGGGTTTCGGGTTTTTGATGTCAGGCTTAGGGCTTGAGGGCTGGGGGCTACGAGGAAACCTAGATAGACGGTCCAGGGGTTCAGCATGTAGGGTTCAAAATGCAGGGCTTAGGTTTTACGAAGGTGCTGTCAGATAATGAGGGGTGGCTTTGCATGGGTATTTAAAGAGCAACTATTAGCAGGCTCCCTATTATGAGAAGCATGATCGCTCCACTTAGGCTTGCGGCTTTCAAGAAAAATGGGACCACAAACATTGCTATGAAGCCCTAAGCAACCCAAACGAGGAACATGGGCGCCAGACATAAGTTCTCAAGCAGGATTAGTACCCTAAACCCTATAATACCCTCATATACCCTAAACCCTAAATCCTAAACCGGGCAGCTTACAGTCTGGGCCTTGAACAGGTCGGGGGCTCAGAGCCTTTCAGGCTCTTGGCTCCAAGGCTTTAGGCTTTAGGGGTTTTTTGGCTGGAAATTCTAGCTTTAGGGTATGCCAAGGTTCTAGCGTTGGGCTTCATGGTAAGGGAAGCTTTGCCTGCCAAACTAGAGCCCGTGGTCTTGTCAGATCAATGCCACAACTGATATTCTGACACAGCTAATGAGCAAGAGATTGTAGCCCACCATGCAACAGAGCGGCAAGGATGCGGAATAGGTGCGATCTCCACGGCGGCATGCCAGAACCTGTGACATGCGGTTCATTTCTAGGGGCGCATTGAGTACTACCTTGAGGCTCTGTAAAACTCTACATTTGGCTGCAGAACGTCCACATCCGATACGATATAATAATAACTTCAACGACTGTGGGGCTCCAGGCAATCGCCACAGATCCCTTAGGGTTTGTGCCATCGTTATAGGGCTTGAGGTTCACATGGCCGAGCGGAATCCCCAATCCGTGAAGCACCGGACCAGAAACCGACGAAACCTCTGACAAGGGTTAGACACAACGAACTACGAGCAAATCTGATGGTTTCAGGTACTATGTGATGCTCGACGAAAAAAACAAACTTACGTGGGCCGTGGTTCCGATATAGTAGGTTGCTGCCACCCTAAACCCAAACCATAGTGCCACAACGTATGAGCCAGCTGAGCTTCTTGGGCTAAATCGGAATTGCAGTGACGGCCTCAAGTCGGACGTAGGGGTCGCAATAGTTGCGAGTAGAGGTTTTGCAGGGCATTGTAGTATAGCCATGGGTATAATTACTAGTGGTTCAGACCTTCACAAGTGTGTTTTACTGCTGAAAGCTTAGCACTTAGATTTTCGATTTGTGCTAATGCAGGCACTTTCCGGGCTTCGGGCTTAAACCCAAACCCCTAAACCATGAACCCTACACCCTAAACGCTAAAATCGTAAACTCTACACCTTAAGCCCCACACCCGAAACCCAAGGCCTGCCTAAACCCCCCAAAAGTCGGTAAAATAATGGCCCAATACCCCCAAAAGGCTATCATTATACACAGATTTGGGAGCCAGGAAGAGTTTGAGGCCTTGGGGCCTGAGCCGGGAGTTGAATCTTCAGGGCGCAGGACTGAAACTTGTAGGCTTGGCTTCAGGGTTGAAGTTTGGGGTTTAGGGTTTTGGCTGTAAGGTCTAGCGTGTAAGGATTAGGGATTGGGGTGTAGAGTGTGCTTCGCGACAAGAGGGATTCGTATGTCGAAGTTCTGCTTCGGTCTTGCGATTTCGTGGTGGGAGGTATGGCTTTCCGTCAAGTGTTGAGGCTTCACTCTGGCTCCTACGGGGGTTCATGAGCATCAGTCAAGTTTGTTCTACATGGGTAGTTCTCTGAATTAGGGTCCCTTTTAGGGTCCTGTTTAGCTGCGCGTCGCCTTCTTTGGGTTCTCAAAAGGGACCCTATTTTGGAAAACTCCCTACATGGAGATTGACGAAAAGAGAGAAACTGTCATACAGGCCTGAACGACTCGGATATGGGACCACAACGCAGGAAGCCACAAATATGGCTTCAATCGACGTTCGCGGCACCCTAGGTTCCAAACTCCGTTTTACAACGACCCTTCCAAGCCCCGCAATGCTTTAGAAACGCGGGCAATCTTTTTTCAGTCTCCCCATTGTCCCCACTCTGAGACCAGCACCGGTCTACCCCAAAAAACACAAAGCCTACACCAGGTGCACATCATCCTCGCAAATGAAGAGTTTGTTCAACTCCTCCAGCCTTGCGAGCTGCATGCTGAAGGCGGCGTGGGTGCAGTCGTGTTCACTGGCCATGAGCTTGTAAAGCCTCTCCTGGGTTCTTGTTAGGGAACTCAATTTAGGCTACCATGATAAGGAGACCCCATTGTTTACTTCAGACCTCTGTTGTGGTATCTCCGATTAAACTTCTCAAGCTTGAACTACTGCACTCCTATAGAAGCCCTAAAGAATACTTTAACTTTGGCATTGCTTATTTCTGTTTAATGGTATGTTTACTGTTTATTCTTATGGTAACCAGGTTAACTCATGTATATAATTGATCGATTAGTTGATTAAGATGCACATGAGCCCAGTCTCTCTTGGGATCGGTGACCCAAGGGCTGCGAAGCAGCGAGCGAGGCTTCGGCAAAGCGTCGGGAGGGGAATCGTCGGAAGCGCCGGAGCTTCCTGAACGCAGTAGTTAAAGACCGTTTTAGGGTTCAAGGTTTTAGGATTTTAGGGTTTCGGGTTTTCTCTCTTCTTCAATAACCGGGCCCAAGAAGCTTAAAGCTTTCGAAGATAGACCAAAGATGTAAGATGGTGTAGGGCAAACAAGTTCAAAGTTCTCCCATCGGCTGTCAAAGCTTCAGGAGCCTCTGTGACCTTTGGTTGCTTCATTGCTGGCTCCTTAGCATCCGTCACCTTCGGCTTCTTCACGGGTGGCTCCTCGGCACTTACTTGATGCCTCTCCGGTTTTGGCGGCGTCTGGCTCTGATGTCGCGCCAGGCTCCTCGTCCTTCTGGGTGTCTGAGTCGCCGGTCCTTCCTCATCCGTAAACATCTCTATCAGCTTCACGACCAACTCGCTGCCCTCTGAAGTCAGGCAGAAGACATCCTTACAGCAGAGCACTGGGAACAGAAGGGAAGCGCGGCTCTAAGTACGATGCTCAGCAGTTTAATACAAGGAGAAGCCAAAATGTGAAATTGCAAAATGAGCTTCAATACGATCTCGTTGCTTTCGAGCCTTCAGCTTCTCCTTCTTCAGAATCCCGTGCTTCAACAATGATCCATGCGCATCCCAGCCAAGGCCGAGGTGACAACCCGCGAAGAGACCACTTGCCATGTGATGGGAGCACCACTGCTTTGCCCGCGCACAAATTTGGTTCGCTGACAGTGGTGCAAGACCCTTCTCATGAGCCTCCCACAAAGCCCTTAGGATAGCGTAGCCACCTCCTCGGTACTCCATGTTATCCAAGAAGCCCCCCGTCTCATCTTCATTCTGAATGCTGGCCCCATTCGCTGCATTCTCGACGGAGATCGCCATCCAAAGATTCCAATGTTGGAATCTAGGGCTCTTTCTTACGATGTTGCGGGCTTTGAACTGCTGCCCACCCTACATGAATAAATGAATGCAGATTTATTTTGCAAACCCAAATCAGACTTAATTAATACAAATGTCCATATGTGTATGTGTGTTCATGTGTATATATATATATATGTACAACTGTATACCGCGATGTTGGTATATACATGTAGATATGATTCTATGAAGCTGCGATGTTCGGGACTCTATCACCATTATACTCATGCTCTTGATGCACCAGGGGCTGCCACCACAACAAGGTGTAGCTTCAACACGTTTGAAGGAGCGATGCTGCTGCTGCTGCTGCTGCTGCTGCTGCTGCTGCTGCTGCTGCTGCTGCCTCACAACACTCTACCTGCATCTTACTGTAGACTACCAAACAACCCTACGTTTGGGTGCGGTTCCTTCATGTCTGAGATGCGGGCTTACAAACAAGAAACTGGCAACAGTTAGTTCCGGGTAGGTCGCCACGATCCCATGCTTACCAGCGCGCCTGTGATGTGACCGTCAGAGGATCGCGGAGACAGTTCACGAGGTCGAAAATGAAACCTCCAAGGGAAGGTGACCCAGAGGCTTCAGTGGTTAGGGCCAAGGGCAAAACCCATTTTTCCGAGAAGTAACCGAGAGTCCAAGAGAACACATAGCTCAATACCCCAAACCCCGAACCCAGGACAGGAAGACGACATTAGCCTGAAACCCTCCACTGGTGTGCTTTGGAGGCTTTGTTCAATATTTGTCTGTGACATTTCTTCAGAATCTACTGACATACCAAAGGAGATTTGTTGTTTCTCAGGCCGTAAGGGGTCCATCCACCCGGATACCCAAACGAAGAAGCCATCCGAGGCGAGAGTAGCTGTTATACAGACGCACGGGACCCTGCAAAACCCAAAACACCCTGGAAATACCGAATGCACCATTCCTCCGACCTTGAATGGGAACCCTTCAGATAAGTGCCTACACCCGAAAAAAACCCAAAACCCTAAGCTGCCTGTAGGCGCCAGCAGAATCAAACTTTCTGGCTGCACGCCTCAGAAATGGCGAGAGATGTTTCTTGGTTTTACAGGGTCTGAAAATAAGGGTTTGATAGAGGATAGGGCTTGTCAACGCGGGGGTCGGTATATTAGACTGTAACTGTGATAGGAACTAGGAGCCCTCAGAGATAGTGTTGGCACTTATTGAACCCGGTATACTATGAAAGCCAACGAGCCATAAAGTTGCAAAGCTATGCAATACTACATTCGCATCACGCACACACAGCCTTCCAACATGAGCATAATGCGAAAGCACTGCTTTATTCCCGAGAGCATCGAGCCATGCGCAATCAATCGATAGTTCTCGAACCCTGGCCATGCCATAGTGAAGCTATGACTTCTTAAAGTCTTGCCAACCACTCTCAATGTGCATATACAGAAAATGTCCACTTCTGTACGATACTGCATGGACAGAACATGGGGTGTAACATAAGTACATACACATACAAGCACAATTGCAAAAGGCACATGCAAATACACATACATATACAAGTACGAACCTTCTTGCACATACTCATGCACATATACACACGCACGCATACGCGCACATACATAAGTACATACGTACATACATGCATACATACATACATACATGTAATTACATTACATACGTTAGATTACACGACATGCATGCATACATACTTACATACATACATGCACACATACAAACAAACATGCAGGCATACACACCGGCATGCATACATGCAGGCATACATACGGCACACTTACATGCATGCATGCATGCATGCTTTCATACATAAACTACATGTATACATACACTCCACATGTATATGTAGAACACTATAGATATCATGTACACACAAATACACATATCTTACGGATACACGTAAACTGGTGAATGCTGCTACAAGTATACTGACACTGTGCACAAGGTAGCCAGATGTCTTGCTCTTGTCGCCTCCCATCCCCCTGTGCTTCTCTCACTGTCTAAACCTCTCACTATCTCGAAGTCTACATACGCAAACGTGTATGCGCGGGTAAGCTCAGACGATGCACAGTCGGTGAAACAATGAGGGTTGAAGCAGTGTTTAATTAGGGTGAACTAACCCCTGAGTTTTGGAGAATCCCAAGACTCCTCACATCCGGGCTGCTCCCCCCAGATCCCTCCAGTCCTGACAACCATAGAACCCCCGAAAATCTTCGCGCGACGACTAGCCCCTACCCAGAGCAAAGCAGTTGACTTGACAACAGTTACCTGCTGCGTACGAGGCCGCTGCTTCTCGTTTAAAGGACCTTGCTTACTTTATGGTACAACCTGAAATAGCCCCACGGCCCTCATAACACCTTGTAGCCCACACCCCTAGGCTCGGGTTCCAAACTCTCCAGCACCCGCCTCCTCCCAAGTTTACATGTCGGGGTTTAGACTTCAGACATTTCTGCTCAGCCTTGGGGTTTAGGGCATTTCAAACTTGTAAGTTTTGAGGATTTCAAGGTTAGGATCTATCGGGTTCGCAGCACGCCCACCACCAGACAGCCTCAAGTCCTGCCCCGCACTTTCGCCTCTCCTAGGGGCCTGGCTGTCGGTGGCGCTCCAATCCACCATGATAACTACCTGTCGGCTGTGGGAGTTTCCGAAAGCTTTGGGGGCTTCGGGTTCCACGTTGTGGGTTTTGGGGTTGCGGTGTGTTTTAATGGCCTTTGGGGGTCAGGGAACAGATCACAGCAGCGAACACGTGCTCTCTGGACACCACTTGTCAATATCAGTATACCTCAAACCATCTCAAACCCAAGAGCCCTTGGTGGCAGGAAAGTCATGGGTCATGGTATGAACTTGCTAGGTTTGTACTATGATTATGTGTATGTCTTGCTGCCATAACCCCGTGACGAAGTCCGCAATGCTCCAGGTACAACCTAGAAGAAAGTCACCTCTGCCTGAATCTGAAGCCAACTGCCGCTCACCCACAGGCTCGCAAGGCCCGAAATCCCAAACCGCAAACCCTCAACAACACACACACACACACAATCCCGAACCCGGGCAAACCTCAACCCAAAACCCTGAGACCTATACATCCTAACCCTATACCCTTAACTTTAAAACTTAAAACCTTAAGCCTAACCGTGTCTAACCGCAAACCCACAATGTAGAAAAATCAAGTTAACTTCCGAGGATTTGGGAGCTTCCGAACATTGGGGACCCTAACATAGTGCCCAAAACAGTAGGAAATAAGGTACCCCCAATTTTCAGTCTTAAAGCTTCGGAGGACCGATCCCTAAAAACAGACGAAGCCTCTGCGAGACTCCGCGGCGCGACACGTCCAGCAGAAACGCGGAGACTGAGGACCTACGATAAGGGCATTATCAGGGTTCCTGTAAGGGCTTCCTTAAGGGATTCCTGGAAACGGTTGCTAATTATGAGGGCCGAATATAGGGGGCCTTATGAAATAGCATAGCAATGCTGGAAAAGGTTAGCCCTGAACTCTGCACCTGAACTTAAACTTAGCTGGCAAAGGGCAAGAAATTTGGAGCGAGGGCTCAAGCCAGACCCAACGGCCCAAGTACCAATATGGTACAGTAGAAGCCAGAAAGTTGGAATATCATTATGGTAACCCCTTTAAGGTAAATTATAGGGGATCCTACCATTAATCCATATTCCAACTTTCTGGAGTTCCCTTTAGAGGTACTTAGTAACTATTCGGGCCCCAAAAATTATTTACTATACTGCTGCCTGGAACCTCTGGGAAAAGTGACGAGAAGAAACTCTAAACACTAAACCCCAAATCCCTAAACCCCAATGGAACCCTACACCCTAAACCCCGAAACCCGACGCCCTAAACCCCTAAACCCTAAACCCCCAAACCCCTAAACTTTGAACCCCTCAACCCTTTTTGCAACCGGTCTGCAGCGACTCTACCGGGAAGACTTGCAGCAACCGATACCGACCACCCACCACTCTAACCCCTCAAGCCTAAACCCCTCAACCTCTAAACGCCTACACCCTTAAACCCCTGTACCCAAAGCCTGGCCTCCGCCAAGCGGAAGGAGCTGCTCCCGGCATCGTTCGTCGCTTCAGGCAGCTGCAGCCCATTGTTTGCCACCTGCAGGTTCTCGTTACAAGGGTCTAGAGTTGAGGGTGTGGTTTCTTCAAGGCCTCTTTTCCAGCCAGCAGGTAGTTTTGCTCACCGACAATCCCAATGAGAAAGGCCAGAACAGCCATATAAGGCCGTCTTGCATACGGTTTAGGGTTTAGGGTTCCAAGTGCCCAGTCATCATGCACGACCTTGCAGAACTACTGTCCTAAACCCGAATACCCAAGTGTTGGTTCCTTTGCTTTAAATTACCTTAACCCTGAAGAACCTACCTTTTTAAGGCTCCTTATTATGATTTCCTTATATAAGTCCTTAAAACAATAGGTTATTCCGGGTTAAGGTAGGCTTCACAGTCAGGTCTCTAAACTTCCGGCCCCAATCCGCAAGTTCCGGAACTTCTGCCTGTCTATGATTGTATAGCTTAAGGCGTAGGGTCGTTGGTTTAGGGCTTCGGGGATTAGGGTTTAGGGCTTCGGGGATTAAACCTGCTGGTACCACGTGGAACACCGCCTCAACATGGTGCCCTGAACCCTCATTCCCTCCAGGATTAACGGTAGCTCAGGATTTAGGGTTCAGGCAAAAGGCTCTGAAGTGCTTTGCAACCCGAATGTCGACTGACAAGTCAGTTTCGCTCTTTGCACTCGGCATGGTCATATAGTCGATTCGAGGAGTTAGGGCCTTAGCCCTGAAATGGGATGTGCAAAAGCTGACGGATTCCAGATCCTAGGTAATATAGGGGCCTCAATAAGTACTTATACTATCTTGGGGGGGCTTCCTGATTACAAGTAAAGTATAATAAACTCCAAAACCCTAGTCCAATCAATGTGGCCCCTATATCAGGTACTCCCGGATGCCTCGGCTGAAAGCAAAGACTCCTCGCGCCTGCTCCGAGCCGTCATCTGCGGGCCACAGCAACAAGCTCCAACGCTCGCCATTGTCTACCTTCCATAACTGACGGTTTAGGTTTTAGGCTGCATATTTCTTTCTTATAATGGGGTGTAATTACCTATCGATGGTACTAAGGACCAAAAACACAAAACTCCAACAGGTCACAGTCGCAATGAGCCTGCGATGTTGACCCAGACACGGTGTGTTTCTGATTGACTTCTAGTTCCCACGTAGGAACTCGTGACAGCACCACTTGTAACGACAAACCGAACCAATCAACTTGTGTCTCAAAACCACCCCCAATCCACACCCACTACGACTACTCGTACGATGAGTACTTCGTGGTTAATTTACAATGAAAATCATGATGATCAACAATGCTGGTGCAAAGGGAAAAATATTGATGGCGGCGGTGATGATGGTAATAATCTTGGTGGGTATGTACTGATTAGGACAATAAATATTCATTTCAAACACTGACGCTTCTGCTAGTATGACAATCATGTAAACTCTTACTACTAGATTTTCAATTTCAGTCATGACGATTAGAGTATTGCTGCAGTTTTGCTGATAATATCGATATTTGCGTTGCCACCGTATTATCACCTACACTAACAGAATCACGGCCTCAGATTTAGTAAACACAAACTAAACCATTAGCCCCAGCTCCACCCAACCCCCAGTGTTTAGGCGCCTTATTTACCGCCATGAAAAGGCATTAACGCACTATGCCAACTCTAACCTAAGGCCCCAAAGTAGTTCCTTTTTGGGATTCATATATAGAAACCTATAGGGTAATCCCAAAAAGGAACTACTTTGGGGCCTCTGGGTAAACCCCTAAACCTCTAAACGCCTACACCCGTAAACCCCTCAACCCAAAGCCTGGCCTGATAAGTTGCAAACCTAGCCTCGCCCTCCCCAGGCCTGAGTCTTATGCCTGACGCAGGAGATGGCGTGAGAAATGAACCTTTCCACTGACAAGGCTAAACCCCAAACCCTAAATCCAGAAATAGCAAGAAGCCTGAGGCTTAAGACAAACACCCTACTTCACAGCTCCGCAGCACCCTAAACCGAACACCCTAGTTCCTAGCCCCCCCATTTTAGGGTTTCGCGTTTAGGGTTGCAAAAACCTACAGGGTCTTGCAGCCTCAATGGATCCTCAAACCTCCCCCAGACTTTAACAACCTCTTAGCATTTCAACTCTACAGGCCCCACTCAAGCAAGCCCTTAACATCAAAAACTTAAAGCTACTGTACCCTAACCCCTAAATCCTTATTCAGGGTTAATAATGCCCAAAACTAAGAGCTATACCCTAAACCCTAAACCCGTATTATTAGGCTTAATAACACCACAAACTCAGAGCTGCCCTTTCGAGAGCTTCCCCAACCCACCGTTTCGGCCTTAGCCCCGGTGCTGACTTCCAGGGAAAGGAGGTACTCAGCCGCCCCCTCAAGTGGATCCTGGTTTTTCTCAAAGGCGTTAGAGTTAAAGGTTGTTTTTGTTGAACCCTCACTCCCTTTGGCAGTTAGCGTCTGGAAAATCATATTGGCATCAAAGGTTTAGGGTTTCGGGCTTCATGGCGTTGTATTCAAGGATGGCGTTATTTAAGATTGTCTATAGGAACATAACGATAATACAGTAATGGAGTTATCTATGCACACAAATGTAGTGCTTCGTATGTTGTCTTGCTGAGTGTCTTTTTGCGACTGACAGCTTTAATGTAAGCCTATCCCGTAGGATTTTTTGTCTTTTGGATTTGTCTTCGCAGGAACAACAATGCTCACACCCTAAAAACTCGACTCCCTGTAATGAACGCCAAACCCAACCAGGTGGTAGGCTGTGATAACATCACTCTAGGGCACAACCGGGTAGCTGGAGAAGGGGAAGTCTACGCTAAGACGGCCCTAACATCAACTCTGAAGTCTACACCCTAAACCCTAAATCCCAAACCCTAAACCCAAATAACTAACAAGCCCTCAACTCCGAATCCTAGTTCTTGCGCCCCGTCTCCTGCAGCGCGATGCGCAGGCTGGTGCCGTTGCTCATCGAAGACATGGAAACAGCCTCCTGGAAAGCAGTCTCTATGCGAGCCTTATTTGAGGTTTTGGGGTATGTTATACTGTAATTATGTACGTAAGGGGCCGCGAGGAATAATATCGGCAAAAATCATGTTCAGGCTTCGCTATGAGGGGGCTAAGTGCAGCAACGAGAGGACAGCATTCACCGCATGCGTGGCCGACGACATAGCCTTTTGCATGTGTTCAGGGCACAAGGAAATACTTTACTGGTCAAAAGAATATCAGACGCAGTATGCCAAACCTCGCAGCAAATCGACCGTATTTGTTCTGGCATGGGGATTAACATTCCGGCAAATCGATGCTAGTATCTTCCTGTATGTTTATATATAGTACAATGACATAAGATGCTCTAGTACGAGATCATAACGCCCCGCAGCATATCACATCGTATCATACTGTCGTATTGCATCCTATCCTACCAGAGTCTGACCACATCATACCATGTTGTATCATATCACACCATACCATATCGCATATAGTCGCACCATGTCATATCATACCATGTAAGACCGTATCACATAACATCACATACAAGCATCTCGCTGATAATGTGATGTACTGAAGCATATTACCAATTTCGCATGTGCAAACAAAATACGGATGTGTATACATGACTCTATAGTATGATTAGGTACTGTATACATAATATATATATATATATATATACACCACAAGAACAACACCAGTGGCCGACCCGAGGCTTCAAGCGCCAACCGACTCTCCTCCCCGGGTCCGAAGCCCTGCCTCTACCAAAAACCCTAAACGCTAAACCCCTAAACCGTGAAGAACCTACCATGTTAGGGCCTAGGGTGTTTTAGGATGTAGGGTTTTGAGGGTTTAGAGTTTTACTGTTTGGAGTTTAGGGTTTTGAGGGCTTAGGGCTTTTTGAGGGTGTAGGGTTATACTGCTTAGAGATTAGGGATTTGAGGGCATGTATAGGGTGTTTTTAGAGTATAGGGTTTTACTGTTTAGAGTTTAATAAGGGCTTTTGGGGTTTAGGGCTTTTAGGGCTTAGGGTTTTATTGTTAAGGGTTTAGGCTAAAGGATTGAGGGCTTTAGCGTTTAGGGTTTTGAGGGTTTATGGCGTTTAGGGCTTAGGGTTGTTGGGGGCTCCTTGTTGTTGCTACGATTTCCTTATGTGAGCCCTTAAACAGGTCAGGTAGGTCATCTAGGGTCCAGGTGAACCCAATCTCCCCGAACTGAAGACAACATGCCTTAACCCTAAGTTGCTGTCTCCGATAAATGAAGCGCCTCAACCCACCCCAAGCCCTAAACCGTTAATAGTTATGAATTATAGCAAGTATGAAATTATTAGGATTGAACAAACACCCTAAACCACCAAGTGTAGCCCGCCTCTCCCCGGGATAAGCTCGAAGCCCCTGTGGAGGGGAAGCCATAGGGAGGCGCTGAGACAACCAGCCTGCACCGCATCCCATGTTCCATGGGTAAAAGGAGGGACCCTTAATAAGGACCCCTAGGTAATATACACTTAATATAGCCATCGTATACCCATTATATAGCCCATTATAGGGTAGGGGGTCCCCATTAAGGGTCCCTCCTTTTCCCCCTTTGAGATGTGGAAGCAGCTCTTGTTCTAAGGCTTCTTGCTTTCATTTGTCTGCATGTGTAATGTAAGGGCCTTGAGAATTAGAAAAGGGTTTTGGGTAGATTAAGCTATAACTCCAACAAGGAACCTCCGAAGTAGTATAGGTAATTATGAAGGTCTCCACATTATTGCTTATGCAACAGAGCAAGGCTCCTCCATTCACGGCGATCCCTTCAAGGCACCCTTGTTGCTCCAATCCTCAAACAATCCTGAATCCAACACGATGCTGGTGCGGCGGAGTGGCGTGTCTCCAGTAGCGGCCACCAAGCCTTCGCTGTGAAAACCGAGGGTTCTGCGATCTCACTTATCAAGGTGTATTGTCCCAAGAGCCGCACCGAACATGTTGACTTCTCATTTCTCTATCTAGGATGCTGCGGAAGACACGTTGGGTTCTTAGTGGGCTTCTACCGCTGGTTGAGGCTTTTGTTGTTCAGGGCTTATGTAGGGCTTTAGGGTTCGAGGGTTTAGGGTTTTCGAAGCTCCTTCTGTCCCAAAGTCTACACAAGTCTGCATAAGCATAGGGTTTAGGCTTCAATTAGGGTTTACAAGGCTTCCTGGTATGGATCTCACTCGGGATTCACACTCAGCCTCAAGTAGTGCCTGCCACATCCAAGCTTTCGAGACCTCGGGGCCTAATATATGTGCCAGCATCCGCGCCCCCCCCCCCCCCTCCCCCCCCATGGTAATCCCCCTCCCCCCCCCTGTGGTTCCTGTGGTTCCCCCCCCCCCTGTGGTTCCTCTTGGTTTTCCCCCTCCCTTTTGTGGTTCTTCTGGTTCCTGTCTCCCCCCTCCCCCCCTGTGGTTCCTGTGGTTCCTCCGCGTGGTTGCTGCTGCTTTGTTGTTGCTGCTGTTCTTCTTCTTGTTCTTGTTCTTGTTCTTGTTGTGTGGTCGCCCGGGTCGGGGGGGGGGGGGATACCATTGGGGGGGGGGGGGGTCGAGAACGCGGAGCGCGGGCACATATAGGGGCCTCTATAATTAAAACAGGCTGCCTTAAAAAGGGGTCTATAAGGGATCTATAATAGAGTTCTATGATGTAGATAAGGGCCTTAATAAATACAGAATAGGGTTTTGGGGTGTAAAATATTATATAAGTATTGTGAGCAACTCCCCAAAATAGTTCGTATTGGTAATTATTTAGGCCCCTAAAGTAGCCCATTTCAGGGTTTTAAGTTTAGGGTTTTTAAAGCTTTTCTTTGGAAGGCCTCCATCCTTCTTGACTCGTGACAAAGACCGCAGAGGTGGATTTCAGATCAGATCCCTCACCAACCGCGCTTCCAAACTTCATGCCCGCATCTTAACTAAACCCTAAACCCTAAACCAAGCGTCTGATGGAACTTGAGTGCTCGCGTGTTAAAGCCCGAAAGTTCAGATTTCAGCCCAGCCCTTGCCCATAGGCCCCATAGCAGTTCCTTGTTTGGGTTCATTTGTAGAACCCTATAAGGTAATCCCAAAAAGGAACTACGTGGGGCTTATGGGTTTACCAAACTCAACATATCATGGCTGGGTGCAGATAGCCTGACTGCCATTGCATGCCAGTTCCCCTGCATAGTCCGACTGCGGTTCAACGCATTTCAATCATTGCTGTTGTGCTGTCTTTGTGGATTTCACGTCTTACATTGTGCGATTTCTTATGGCGTTGATGCATGACTCTGCATCTAACGCTCACAACAGCAAGCAGCGACGTGAACAACCAGCATGAGGATTGAGCAGAAAAAAAACTCTACTGCTATTTTCTACGGTTGGCCAAGCCCTATAGACAGCGACCATGCGACCCCACCCCCAACGAGTCCGTCCTCGAAGCGTGAACGACGCCACTGCGCCGCGGTTCGCGCGGGCTGCGAAAGCGGCTGCCCCTTGCAGCGCTGAAGTTCAGAGCATGCCTACCACGACCGACCCTAAAAATCTTTAGGGTCTAGGCAGACTATATATAAGCAGAAAGGCGCGGCTTTCAAGACAAGAGGGTTCTGGGAAGACTTGATCAATTAAATCGTACTTCCTTGCTGGGAGGCGCCGAGCCCGTTTACTGATAGCGTCCGAAAGCCCGAAAATGCAACACGACATCGAATGTATATCCGAGGTTCTATCAACGGCAGTATATATGGGAGATACAACTAGGGTTCAAAGCCGTGTATCTTGGCATCGGGGGTGGGAAGCCGGGGAAATTACAGTCTGGAGGGGCGGGTGTGGCAAAACTTAAGCACATGGCGCAAGTAGCGAGTCAAGCATGGATCAACACAATTCGAAAGTCTATAGTAAATTGCCATATAATAAATTACCAAGACTAGTTTTGGGTGTTCCATATTCTGATTATAGCATACTGGGCCCCAAAGCCTTATTCTAGTTATGAAGGCCCCTCTATTATGTACGTTCGGGGTCTTACCCGAAGATCCCGAGTCATCGGACTACGAAGATTCAAAGAACAGGGTTTGATTGGATATGGATGACTCTTAGGGATTACAGTAGCATTTAAAGCTCGTCTATGGTTTAGAAAAGGAGCAAAAGAAAACGCAAAAGAGCCGAACACAACACACATTGCCAAGCCTGCACCTGGACCCTATAAACCCCATAAGCCCTAAACCTTAACGCTACGACATGCTGACACATGGGCTCTGTGTCACGGGACCTGGCCCAGAGGGCAATTTCAAGTATGGAGATAGACCCTAAACCCCTAAACCCTAAAACCATTCTTGGAAGGTTTTACGGCGGACTACGGAAACTTTCACAGCGGCTCTGGGCCTGATTGTGACATGCGCACATCGGCGACGTCTTGTGGAAGCGGCGACAAAGCCTTCCCGTGTCAGAGGATAGTTGCTTCTCAAGCTTGAACAGCTTTGCTTTATAAAAGGAACTCCAGAAAGTTAGAATATGGAATAATGGCAGTAATGGCAGGATCCCCTATGATTTACCTTACTTAAAGGGATTATGATAATGATATTCCAACTTTCTGGCTTCTACTGTCGGGGCCTAGACCTCGACCCAGAAACGCGGAACGAAGCAACCTAAATCCCACAGCGACCGTTTCGACCGAAGGCAATACTGAAGCCCTCTACCCTTCAGCAACACTAAAACACCAAACCTTCCAACCGAGAACTCTTCTGCTGTCCAGAACCCAAACCCATGAACCCTCATCCTCAACTGAAGCCTTCGCTTCTGCCTAGAATGGGAGGCCTAATATATATATATATATATATATATATATATATATATAGAATATGGTTCCTTTAAGGGTTCTGTTAGAAGGGTCTACGAGGGTTTCTGCAAGGACTTACACACATGTAGGATGTAGGAGTGATCATCGGAACAGCTATATATAAATACAATTGTTCCGAGCATTGTAGTTTTGCCAGTACGGTATCTATAATGTGAACACCAACGTAACGAAAAGGGAACCGACTAAATCCCAGTGTGTTTGGTTGCAATTTCGGAAATTACACACACTGAATCCCGGGCCCCGCACCCGAAATGTAACGCCTAGGACTCGGGCTTCGGGTGTGAGATTCCCTACAGAAACACCGGTAGCATAGGGGTTTGAATAAACACATAGAGGGTTTTTATACAGTTTTCCAACGTGCAAAGTGAAAACGGAACACCCTCAAATCTGAAACTGCCAAAACACACCTCAACGTTAAGCGGCGTTCCGGCAGATTCCAAATCAGAGAACCCTAAACCCTAAACCCTAAATCTTTCCGAACTGGATCTTCACTTTGTCGAGGCAACTTTAAGTCAGAGATCCCCACTTCAAGGAAAGAGCCTCACCCCTTTCTGTGCCTTACACCCGTTATATGAAACCCCAAAGCGCTCTAAAAGTCTTGTCGGAGGATCTACTTACCCTAACAGAATGACACCTAGGACCGAATGGGAGCTTGCATGAGCCAAAACCTCGCCAGTCCCCTACTAGACCCAAGAGTACCCTAGGAATAAAAAGGGTGCCCTTTTTGGTTTAATGGGGCTTGTAAAGGAACCTGAACCCCTAAAAAGGGAATAAGGGCCTACTCTAGGTCCTAGCCTATGGGAGTGAGGATTAAGGGGACCCTTGGGGCACATAGACCCTCTCAACAAGGTCCTGTTAAGAGAGACAAGAAGGATCCCTTCTGAGAGGTCTCCTTTAAAAATACCTAGGATCCTAAGCCGAAAGCTGCCTGTGATTCGACGGAGATCCGCTGGGGCACCCGGAAGGAGAACCGATCCGACACGTCCAAGTCTTCGCCAACTGCCCGGACTCATGGGTGGTTGTCTTACCTATGGTCCCTTTCAGGGGTCCTGCTTGTGAGGGTGCCGAACTAGTTTGGAGGTTTAGAAAGGGACCCTAAGTTACAGAACTGCCCACATGGTGTGGGCTGTAGTGCGCTCAGTGTTCATGGAGGGGCTGTAGGGATCAGGAGGCTTACTTTCAGGCCCAACTTTTACTATTTGGTTTGGGCACATGGGCAAACTCTTCCCCTAAACCCTATTTACCCTCTGAGTAAACCCTAAATCCAAATCCCCCAAAAACCTCTTAGGGTTGTCTTATATGGGCTTCGCTTCTGAGATGCCCCCCCTTGAGGCCTGCCGTTTCGCCTTGTCGAATCTTCACCACGAAACCTTTTGGCGCTCACTGCATTGGGGGATTTCGTAAGGCTTAATATATGGGCCTTAAAGTTTCGAATAGGGTTTTGGGGCCCGTTATACTATATCGATAATAAGGAACCCCCAAAATAGTACTGGCAACTTTTAGGGCCCCTATATTAGAGTTGTTAAGTGTGCTGAATCGCTGGAGCATCCTAGTCTCCCTGTACTGGCACACACTGAACAGCGAAACGGCCACAACAAAAACGACTGAGCTCGTCCTTAACACGAGGTTTTAAGGCGTAGATTGCAGCGTTTAGGCTTAGGCTGAGAGTTTCACGAAATGGCTGTTGAATCGAGTTTGCATAGAGTTTTTTTGGTGGCTTTCAAGGTTTCAGAAGGCTTTTGCTTGTCCTCTATATGCAACAAGGTCGGACATCTTCTCAGACACTCAGATAGCTCTGAATGCAACACCTGTGCAAAAAGAAATCTTGAACCTTAAACTCTCATAGTCCTTGGCCTATCAGCTTAAACGGACCAGCTTCCTCTGTCCATGCATCTTTGTGCCATTAACCCAAAACGGTTCAACTGTTCCATAGGTCGTCTGGTGTCGTCTTCGGTCCTGCGAATGCACCAGATAGAGAAGCTTCTTCCTCTACACCCAACACCCTGCCTAGAAAGTTCCAGGTAACTGAGAAAGAGTGGATGGCTGGACGACCGGATGACTGGGATGACTGGACAGATGGATGGCTGGATGCTTGGCTGGCTGGAGACGGATGGATAGACAGGTAGGTGCGAAGCAACGAAGCCGAAGTAACACTGAACCTACACTACACCCAATCCTAAACTCTCAGCCTACATCCTGGAATCCGAGTTCTAAGTAGCCCGAAGTCCTAGCTATATGTCCCAAGGCCCTATACAAGCCTACAAATTATGAAGCCCTTGACACACAAGCCTTAGCCTTAGACCTAAATCCGAGACACTCGTCAGCGAACCCCTAATACCCAAACACTATACACCCTAACCCCGACCAAACCCAGAACAGCTCTAGATACCTCAAAAAACCCCTCTCGACCTCTCGATACTTTCTTGAAGTGAAATCCCACCACCTAGACCCTAAACCCCAAACCCTAAACCCTATAAACCCTAAACGCAATACCCTAGGCCCGAAGCCCTTATCCTTAAACCCACAACCCAAACTAAACCCTTGCAGCCCCGAACCCCAAAACCTTGGATTCTCAGCCGGAGCTGCTCGCCGGCCCGGGTGATCCCAAGCGGATGCTGGACAAACGAAGTGGCGGCGACAGGATCGATCCTAAGGCTTCCTAAGTTCCTAGCTTTAGGGTTCAGTGTTTCGGGGATTATGGTTAAGGGTTAAGTGTTCATGGTTTAGGGTTTCGGGTTTATGGTTTACGGTTGAGGGTTTCGGGGTTAAGGATTTAGGGGCTTACTGTTTAGGGCTTCAGGGCTTTCGGGTTGAGGGGTAGAGTTTAGGGTTTGCTATCAGGTTTCTTTCATGGGGCTTGCGGCTTGGGTGTTTCTTCAAGCTTGTCTTCAAGGGTTCTATAGTATAAGCGTTTGCTGGTTTAGGGCCAGGCCTTCTCGAAGCCAATTGCCAAAGCTATTGCAACGACAGTTTATGGTTTAGGACTTATGGCTGAAGGTATGGAGTTTGCGCTCAGGGTTAAGCTAGGCCTGTAGCAGGCCATGCAGTAGCACGTTGTAGCTTGTCTGCTGCCCTTTACACGCTACAGATAATTCTGTACCCGACAACCCTAAACCCCAAAACCCTAAGCCCTAAACCCAAAAACCCGAAACCCTGAACCCCAACACATCCGAGTCTGGTGCCTTCGAGGATACTGGCTGCGACAGTCACGGACAACTCCTTAGTTTGCACCCAGACTTGGTTTAGGGTTTAGGATGGTTTGGGGCTTAGGGTTTAGGGTTTAGAGTTTAGACTGTTTCTTTGAGTTCTCAGGGTGCGGATAAGGGTTCCTCGAGGGCTCGGGATTAGGGTTGCGAGCTTAGGGCTATCCTCGGTGCTTGTGTCGGGCTTTAAGGCAGGGCCATAAGACGAGCTTTGGAGCTTCGCAGATTCGGGGTTTCACTTCAAGTTTGCCTCTTCTGCAATGAGGACCAACCTCCCAGCCTGACAAGCAAAGATCAAACAAGTTCTAACATGGGGGGGGCCCTTAGCAGTTGAAACAGGGCTTAGGGGTATACTCTAGTACATGAGCATTCGGAGCTGTAAGGAAGCATGTTGGTAGCTGGCTTGTAGAAATGCTGCTCCCTTGCTGCCCGACGCACATTCAGTTCGATATTGCTTTGACCGGTGCAACAGGGGCACTCCGACCATCATACTAGTATTAGAGAATTTTGGTTTGCTCGAAGGGGTGCCTTGCTTCATGTGCAGACCTCCTTGCAACAAGGAACCTATTCGCTTAGGGTTTAAGGTTTATTGCTCTGCCAGTACAACATACAGTCAATCTGGGCCTGTGTTGGCCCCATGTTGAGATTATCATCGGCTGTATCTGCATCCATGTTGGCCCAACTGAACCCAAACCCTGGCCGCTGAAAGCTATCGCCTCGGGCCAGCTAGATTGGGACAAGCTGCATCCATGTTGGCCCACACTAGTAACTTAGGTAACCTTAACCCTAAACCCTAAACAGCAAACTCTGTAGCCTTGCCTGCCAGATTGTGGACAAACAGATACAGGCTGCACTCTTCCCCTGCATGGAGTACTGGCATCTCAGTCTTCCTTAGACGTGGGTGTCTTCTTGGAATAGACCTTTAGTCTCCACAGTGGAGACTATAGGACCATACTGCTTGAAGTGGTGGCACCTTCGCAAAATCCCTAAACCCCGAGAACCCTATTGTAGAACCCCAAACCATACGATAGACCTTAATGATAGAAACCCTACACCCGATGCCAGACTATAAGCGTTACTTTGTAATTGCTTCGATGCCTCAAAACTATAGAATAGGTGCTACTTGGTGCACGAAACCTGGCTATAAAACCTTATTTCGTCAATCCCTAAACCGCTGAACCGAAAACTTACTCTACACTCTATTTCGTAAAAATGCGAAATCCTAAAATCCTACTACAAGCCGAACAGCCACTGCAAAACCTTAATATAACTACGATCAGCCCTACCATGCCCCTAAACACGACTGTACACCATATGGGAGTTTCCAAAAACAGG